ACAGAATGTTGATAGTCATTGAAGTTAGGGCAAATAGAAGTTTTAGTATATTCTATTTTTTGAAAAATTTTATAATACAAAGTTAAAGAAAAACATAGAATACCCAGGCCCTATCCCAGATGAGTTAAATTAAAATCTCCATGCTTTCATAGTTTTAGAAGTCAAGCCTGAGTAAACTGCATTTAGGTGTTTTTTTTTTAATCAGCTGTACAGAACTGAGAATACCTAGATTAGTGCTTTTATTTGTGGAAAAGATCAAAGTAGGTTAGTTAATCACACACTTAGTATGATAATATGATGTAGTGACTAAAAAAGCTAGTATGATCTTTGACTGCATTAATAGAATCATGGAGCCCACAATATTTTTAAAAACCCTGCATTTTTTCAGATCTTCTCTGGTGTTCAGGTTTGAATGACACATTTTATAAGAGGCTTTGACAAATAGGTATGTTAAGAGAATGGCAGAAGAAATAATAAGAAACCCAAACAATCTCATACAACAAATAGATGAAAGAACTAGGTATATTTTAAGCCAGGAGAAGAGAAGAATAAACAAAGGGATACTGGATAACTGTAATTACAATATTTGAAGACTCATCATATGAATAGAGTATATGTTTTGTATTGTCCTAAAGTTGCAAGGAAGTAGCATTTTATTTATCCTAAGAAAGATCTTTCTTTTTCTTTTTTTATGTGTGTAAGTAAGAAATCCCTTTATTTTTCTATCATGAAGGTTAAAAAATGTTTATTGTAAAATTTTCAGAAAATACATGTAGATGTAAAAAACAAAATAATGATCACCCATCATCCTGTTGCCCAGAATATAAACAGGATTGGCCTAATTTGTGTGGCCTAGTACAAAATAAAAATGCAGGGCTCTTTGTTCAAAATTAAAGAATTTTAAGATGGTTGCATCAGAGTATGCAGCCCTTCTGAGCATGAGGCCGTATGGACAGGTCTCAAGCTCATGAAGCCAGATCTAATGATAACATCTGGATATATACAGTTCATCCTTGAACAACATAGGGTTTGAACTGCATGGGTCCACTTGTATGTGGACTTTTTTCAATAAATACAATAGTACTAAACGATCCACAGTTGTTTGAATCCGAGGATACAGAACTGCAGATATGGAGGGCCGACTATGAAGTTATATCAGATTTTTGACTGAATGGGGGTCAGCATCTCTAACCCCTGAATCGTTCAAGGGTCAACTGTAAATCCTTTCATATTTTAGAAAGAACTTTCTAATTAGTAGAACTTCCCACCAATGCAGTAGGCTGCCTTGGGAGAACTCTGGAGTCAAAAAGGAAAAAGCTAGGCTTTCTATCAGGGATACTGTAGAATAGATGAATGCGTTGGTGGTTGTACTACATGACCTGTTAGGATATTTTTCATCTCTGATGTCAGTGGTGCTCTATGTCCATCCATCCAAAAAGAATTGGTTCATGAACACTGATCATTACCTGCAAATTGTATATTTTTTAAAATCATAGGACCTTGCTTTTTTGTTATCCTGCTGTGTCATTGAATAAAAAATATTTCACATCAGTTACGGTGATGAATTGCCTTAAGAAGTTTGTTGCTACTTCTATGGCAAGGTGCTACCAAAACCACATAGACCTTTAAAAGGTCTAGAACATTGGTAACTTCCTCAGTTCTAGATATTCAAAGAATGATTTGGATTTTTAAAATTTTTTGGGGGGGGTAATTAGGTTTATTTATTTTTAGAGGAAGTACTGAGGATTGAACCCAGGACCTTGTGCATGCTCAGCGCATGCTCTACCACTTGAGCTATATCCTACCCCCCGAATTTCTTGGTATTTTAAAAATCTCTTGTTCTATCAGGCAGCCGACAGACACTATCTATTCTCTTGCCAATTTACTGTTGCTATAGAACTTCCCATATATAGGCTGATTCATGGCCTTGGATGTTCAGTCTGTCAGATGATAGACCTTTGTGTTTACGTTGAAAACCTTAGAAAAGCAACCCAAAGTTGTCTGCTTGTTTTCTTGTACTTTTAGAACCCAGACATTGGCACATATTAATCCCTAAATGACTTGCAGGGACTTGATGATGATTATAGCTTAATGAGCTGAATGTCTTCCCCAAGCGGCTGGAAAGGTATTCTAGCGCTAGCTTCCAAATTATTTGTTGCATGGTTTTACAATAACTGCCTGATTTAACAGTACTTACAAAAACTGAACAATTTCTTTTCTACATAGTGTAAAGCACTTATAATCTTTCAAATGTTTCTGCTGCTGCTGCTGCTGCTGCTGCTGCAAAAAATGACCTTTGTGCAGGTGATTTTGAGCACTTTGTCCCTAATTTCAGACTTTCTATCAAACAGCTAACTGTTATCATGTTACTCAGGAATGCTTATTTGTGGCCTCTCTTTTCCTCTCACATCTTCACACATCCACACTCCCACTGTTAATTTCTCAGTTGAGCCAAATTTCTCTTTACCTGTTTGTTCCTTTTCCCATTGTTCTAATACTGCTTTCCTAGTGTATATAAAGAAAGAAATAGACTTTGAGCTACTTTTATTTAAAATGTGGTAAAGGTGACATAAATGATTTTCCTCACAAATTTGAAAATACTCTTTTGAAAGCTTAGAATTTAAATTTTGGGAAGGCAAATCCAGCAACTAAAGTGGTGCTGTGGTTAATGAATGCTTTTATTTGAACTTATAATTCCTTTATTTTGACAATTTTGTCAAGTTATATGTTTATTTATATACACAGACATTCATACACTTGATTCCATTTTTTCAACCTGAAGATAGTTTACCGCTTTTGGTTGTCTTTTACTAACACTCTTTTATCTTTTTCTTTTTTTGAATATTTTCACTTTCCCATCTTCAAAGTGAGAGTATTCTCCTTTTTTCCATTTCCTGAATAATTTCAGTTACATTGCTCTGAAGAGGTTATCTGCATATGTTTAGCTCCCACTTTTCTTTCTTTTTCTTTGACCACTCCCACTTTTCTTTCTTTATCCTTGATCTCTTAGCCAGACCTCCAATTTCTCACACTTTTTCGCACTGAGAGTGATATAATTATTTTTCCTTTTATCTCCAAACTATCCACTAATTCCCTGATTATTAGTTGAAAGATAATCGCTTCCTGTGTCTCTCCTCCTCATTCCCATTCTCTCTTCCCCAGTACCTTCTCTTTCATAATATTTGTCTGGATGTTCATATTTCTTTTTCTTGGCCTTCAGTTCATGTTATGGCTTTTTTCATATCAGATAACTTCTTTTCTCTATAATCTGCACATGTTATTGCCAAACTCTTCCTTGATACTTTACCCCCAGTATCAAAACCCTCTGTCAGATTGCTAGTTGATATGCTGCATTTGTGACCCCTATTTTTACTTTCCACCAATTCCTACATCTACTCTCCCACCCTTTCCTTTCAGTTGATCCAAACTTCTCTTTATTTCTTTGTTCTATCTCCTACTCTTCTAATTTTCCTCCCTCTGTGCTTATAATAACTTCCTACCTCACATCTGCCAACCTACCTATATTGTCATTCAAAGCTTGCTTGAAATCTTAACTCCTTTTAAGTGGGGAAAGATAGGGAGATAGCCAAAGGCCTGTTTTAAATTGATTTAATTCTTTCCTCAAAAATCAGTATGCTCAATCAAAGAGAAATGCCTCATAAAGTAAAACCAACACTCAACCAATCAAAGCTTCCAGAAAAGGAAAGTAGATTTATATATTTCAGCCATCCCATTGATACAGTTAAGTCCACACATTTTGTTCCCATTGTGTCCAGCAATGTGTTGAAAGTTAGGGATACAAACCCAGTGGTAGAAGACATGGTTATTGCCCTCAGAGAACTAATACTCTAGAGAAGGAGGCAAGATTAATGTACATGAAACGCTTAGAAAGTAGTTGTAATAACTAGCCTAATAATTAAGATGCTAGGTTGTGTAGAATTTAAGTGCTATAAGTAATTAAAGAAAAGGGGCGGCATAATTGCTCGGAATTGCCAGTGAAGATTTCTTGGGGGAAGTGGGTCTTGAAGAAAATGTAGAATTTGGGTTAGCTAGACTGGGCTACAAGACTTGCGTTAGCATTTCTAGGCAAAAAGAGACCTACTTGCTTAGCAAAGACTTTAAGGGAGAAGTTGGTTGTTTAAGAAAATGGCAAACTTTATTCTAGGGAGGAGTAGGAAATATTAGATAACTGAAACTAAATGATCAAAGCCTTGAACTCCAAATTGAGGAATTAAGTGTTAAAAAGAAAGTCTTTTACCTAAGCATTTTAATTAATCAAGGTTTTTATCTTGTATAAATATCCAACATTTTTGGGGGGGTGGGGAGAGGTAATTAGGTCTATTTATTTAATTATATTTTTAATGGAGTCACCAAGGATTGAATCCAGGACCTTGTGCACACTGAGTGTGCACTCTACCAGTTGAGCTATATCCTCCCCTCTCCAACATTTTCTTATATAATAGTATTTACTAACACTGAGTGGTTTACTGTGTGCTAAGCGTTGTTCTAAATGTTTTATAAGTGTTTTATATGTAACAATAACTCATTTCAAATGTACAACCACCTTTTGTGGTAGGCTCCATTTTTACCTCCTTACTTTACAAATGGCAATGGGGGAAAAGGTAAGTACAACTGGCTCAAGCTGACACAAGCACATACCAGAGCCAGGATTCAAACCGAGGTAACTTCTGGTACCAGAATCTACATTCTTATCTGCTATATACACAACCTTGTAAAGGAGGTCAATAAGTACTGCAAATATATCGTGAGGTTTAGACAATTGAACCTGATTTATTCTTTTACTGAAAGGTAGTTTTTTTCAAGCACTGCTTACACTGGAACACTGTAATCTCTTCATCCAAAGTATTTTTTAAAGAAAAATCTCTATAAGGAAGCTTGGACTAGAAATTTAAAAAAAAATCTATTGGTTAGTCATATGAAGAGATATTGATTTTCTCTGTTATAAAATCCTTATTTCAACAGTCTCTTTATTGCAACAGGGCTTCTGGTTGGGACTCTTGATTCAGTCTTAGACTCTACTGCTAAGGTAGCTCCATTTCGCATCCTACACCAGACACCAGATTCTCAAGTTTACCTGTCCATTGCATGTGGTGAGTATGACTTTTAAAACATGGAATACAAACAAATAAGGGTACTAAGAAATTGAGTATTTAAATTTATTTATATGTATCTTTTGGTTTAGAAACAAGTTAAATGTACAACTCAACTTTGAGAGAATAGAAAGATATATAACTGTTTATATAAGAAGGATTACAGATTATTGTTTTTTAAAAAATCCATTAATGTGATGGATCTGAAGCATGTGTTAGAACAGTGCTGATTCTGAGCAAATTTTGGTCAGTGCTACTGCTAAATGACTCACTCCTTTCTGCAACCTGCCTCTTCTTAATGTAACTGCAAGGAAGATGAGAACTTCCCCATGCAGTACTTTGTTTCATCCATCATAACTCAGATGAGGAGAATCAAACCCGAAACTTAAAGGTTGATCCCTGAGAAAATATAAGCCTGAAAAAATGAGCCCTTTTTAGTTACGTACCTACTTTCTCACAAAAGGCATCATATCATTGAAATATGAAGGGATATCTTACAGGTAATGCTACATATTAATCCATGCTGGGGTGGTTCAGTTGCTTCCACATATACCTGTTATGGCAGAAAAGGAATTAGGATGATTCTTCCTAATGAAGCAATTCAAAATTAGAAAAATATATATCCAATGACAGTTTGTTACTTCTTTTATGAGGCCATTATAATGTTGGCCTAAATTAGAATCCCAGATTTATGGCTTTTTTTTTAATGTTGGAAGACTGCCTTTTTTCTTTCTCTCTTCTCAAGTAGATATACTTAAAAAAAAAACAAAAGCATGTGAATTTCTGGATAGTTCATATGTATGAACATACAGCATACAATTAATTTTTTAAGATGTGTGGCTTGTTTTTTGCATCTCCCTCTAAATTTCCTTTAGTGCTTCTGGTGAGTGTTTTCTCCTGGCTCTCTTAAAATGAATGCCATCTAAACTAAGTGAAAAAGATATTACACCTGCTGATATATCATGAGACATCTATAAGCTCAACTCTAAATCTGGTTGGTAGAAATTATTTAGAAAAAAAGTCCTTTTTACTTAAAAAAAAAGGATTCTTATGTAACTTATTCTCCCAAATTAACCTGATGCAGAAATATAGTAGTTACCTACTAATGAAGCTTCTTTATATCTAAAGGACCAAAATAAAGGCCTTAAAATTTCCCTGTGGCTTTTATTTGTGGTTCATTAAAGAAGGATATTATACATGGTATGATGACGTTAGTAACATGAATACAACTCTAACTGAATTGTAGGAAATAGTACCACTCTCCATATATCATAAAACATACTTAGAAGTCAAGATATTTCTCTTGAATAAGATTTATATAATATACAATGCCGGAGAGATCTTAAAGGTATGTGGGTTATAGGGGGAAACCGGAAGATACTGAAATGTTCTTCTAGCTAAAGCAACCCAGAGCTAACTGTAGTATTTAATCCTACCCTCAGTAAGCCACCTAACACTGATTCAGCAGGTCACATGGATTTACCCTTGCTACAGGGTTTCTAACCTTTTTCATGAACTTTCTTTAAGTTGGCTGGGCCTTTTAAGAAGAGTTGACTCTAAGCAAAGGCTTCATACCTTCTGAAATAGAGTTGCTGCAGTTAAAATCCACATTTATACAGTGTGCATAGGGTTGTCATGTGCACACTGTTTTCAGTCACACAGATTATAAATATAGTACTGTGTTATTTGAAGACCAAAGATTAACGTATGTATATATGTGTATATGTATGTGTGTGTGTGTGTATATAGTACTGTGTGTGTATATAGTATATACTGGTACTCTATATAGTCTCTTAAAAGAACTAGTTACCCTAGGCACAGGCTACCGGCATCTTGTTTTCAGGATTTTATATCTTTTCTCATGAGTTGCATTTTCTTTTCTACCCTTTCATTAAATATGTTATTCTTTTTACTTATAATGAAAGACAGTGTTCATACCCACATATAAGGATAAAATAGAGAATAAATATAGTACCACTGTTCCTTTATGATGCTCATTTTTGAAAATAAGCAAATATGACTTTATCTTTTAAACTAAGCTTATAAATATCAAAAGCAGGTTTTTTTGTGTGTGTGGAATTTTCTTTGAGTCTTTCATTCTTTTTTATTACTAATCAGGAGCCAACAGAGAAGAAATAAACAAACATTGGGATTGGTTAGAACAAAATATCATGAAGACCTTGTCTGTGTTTGATTCAAATGAAGACATTACTAATTTTGTACAAGGAAAGATAAGAGTAAGTGGCATGGATATATTCTGCAGATGGAATACTAAAATCTTTGACCCTCTTATTTGAGGATCAAAGCTGCATTGGAAGGTCATTGTTTTACTGGCACCTTTCAGGATTGGCAAAAGCAGGCATATGAGTATCAGAATCGGAGCTAAAGAAAATTGTAAAGTTAGTGGTTAGTCTTTGGTGCCCTTGTGAGTGCTTAGATATTTTCATTTCAAAATCTCTAGAGTTTGGAGTGTGAAAGAACCCTTCACTCAATCAAAATAATGAGCATCTGTATTTTGTAGTAGCTCCTTGTGGCACATTAGAAAAATACTAATTACAAAATTAAAGAAAATCTGCTCTGCCTCTGTACTAAGAGAAGTGTGTATGTGCACATTTATATGTGTATATGTGTCTGTATCATATATGGATACGATATACACGTGATATATGTAGCTGAAGAAATACAGTTATATTCCATGAACTGTTTAAATATGTGAAATATATTTTTATTGGTAGGTAATTATTAATTTTCAGAAAATATTTTGTCTCCTTTAGGGATTAATTGCTGAAGAGGGAAAACAATCTTTTGCAAAAGAAGATGATCCTGAAAAATTTCGAGAAGCCCTTTTGAAATTTGAAAAATATTTTGGTTTACCAGAACAGGAAAAGTTAGTGACGTATTACTCATGCAGTTATTGGAAAGGACGGGTTCCTTGTCAGGGCTGGCTATATCTTAGCACCAACTTTCTAAGCTTCTATTCTTTTTTGTTGGGATCAGAAAGTAAGTGATTTCTATTGCTTACTATGACTTTGAACCTGCAGACAAACCTATCTGTGATGGTGTTAGATTGCATATAAAGTAATAGGATAGATATGAAGGGTAATTAAACTGTACATTAAAAAGTTCACTTCATCTAGGGAGAGAATGCTTTTAAGACTGATAGCTTAACATAGGAACCATTAGAAGTGTATATAGAATGCCTTACATATTGTGGGAAGCAAATGAATATTAAATGACAGTGGTGATCTGGCATAGAACTTCTTTCTTTCCCCGTTATAAACTACCAACTCTCTTCAATCCATATTTTAATCCTTGTTTTAAACATACAATATAAATATAGTAGCCGTAGTGCCTAATGGCTCACAGCTACAAAGAACAATCAAACAGAACTGTTCATAGCACATGTATAGCTTTTACATCAGTGGTTATGTTATTATGTAAAGTAACAGGCTTAAATATGAAATCAGAAGAAAATTTTAAATTATTTAAAAATTATATCTGTTCATAGAATCATCCGTTATTGAATGCTCATTGTTATGCTTCAGAATTTTAATGAAACTTGAACTCCAAAGTATTTTAGTTGTTCATAGCATTTTTCAAGTGGTTACCTATTGTTTTTGAAAGACCTGATTGGAAAACATTAGTCAACATTGCGAAATTTAATCATATCTGCTTGTTATTCTTGTTTGCAGTAAAACTCATTATCTCCTGGGATGCAATCTCAAGACTTGAAAAGACTTCAAATGTTATACTGACAGAGAGTATTCATGTGTGTTCCCAAGGAGAGAATCACTATTTTTCAATGTTTTTGCATATTAACCAAACATACCTTCTTATGGAGCAGCTGGCAAACTATGCTATAAGAAGACTTTTTGATAAGGAAACATTTGATAATGATCCAATCCTTGATGATCCTCTACAAATCACCAAAAGGTATTCAAAACGTAATTCATACTTACTTTTTATTCTTTGACCAGAGAACAGTAGCATTGAATAACATTAAAAGTTAACTTTTCTATGTTATATGAAAGCTTTTCTTCGGAGTAATCATTGATGTGTGTGTGTATTTTGGGGGGGGGTTATTCATATGCATTTTACGAATGGTATCCTCTCCATGAAGTTTAATCCTAAGAAGTAGTAGAAGTTAAGTTTGAAAATAATTTCTTGAGATCCCCGTAGGATTTGCTCTGGAGTGCTTTTAGAAGTGTAGAGATTGTTGTATGTGTGGTTAATCTAACTCTAAATTTCTCTAAGATAGTTTAGATAGTTTCAGGTCTGAAACTGTTTAATGTATTGTTTATTTTTAAACATAACTTATAGACAGTGTCATTTTTTTTTAAGGGAAAGTAAGTGGAGTCAGTGAAAAATGGGCTTTAGAATGACAGTAGAGCAACCCTTGGACAAGTCATAATCTCTCAGGACCTCAGTTTTCTCAACTGTCATTTCTACCTCAGCACTTGTGAGGAATGAGCAATATAATGTGTGAAAGCACTTTGTAAAATACAAAACACTAGATAAATATTAATCATTATTAGTGCCTGCATCAGAAGTATCTGTCTGGTAGCTGTTTGCCACTATATTTGGTTTGCTGAAACCAACCAGCACCCTTATATCCTGCTCAACACTCGGAACAGTTGACTGAAATCAGCATGCCAAAGGGGAGGGAGAGTGGAGAGGATCCAGAAATAGTTAGTGAAAGCTGCTTCTGGCAAGGAGGCTGAGGGTATAGACTGTATGGGAAAGTGTAAAATAAAGAGGAACCTAAGTCCTGCAGATAGACCAGAACAAGTGACCTGGAGGGTTGTGTGATTACTGCATAGCCCTTACTGGGTACAGTTGTCCCTCTTGCCTATTCTTAAACTATTCCTAAAATCTGTATATATAAGGATTCCTTTGTGAGCCTTCCTGCTTTTCTGGAAATAAATCAGCCAGGTGAATTTTTTTACACCTTATTACCAAAATTAGGTCCCACTGTGCATGATTTATAAATAGAGCTCTATAAGGATTAAGAATCCAGTTTATGTTATATTATAGTGAGCCATTTGTTTTTGTAGTTCCTTAATTGGCCACCATAAACATAAACTTTTAGCAATTTAATTTCCCTTAGAATATTCTAAAAGGCCATCTATCAATTCATTACCAAGTCTATATTTGAATGAAGTACAGGAAATTGATTTTTGGCCATGTACATTTTTTAAAATAGTCTATGGAGAATTATATATATCTCAATCCTTTTCTTTAGTAAGTTAAAAAGAACCATAGCTTATTTAGACTTAGTCTCCAAATGACTTTTTCTATAATGGAGTATCTTTACTGCTCCAGCTTATTGTTTTTACCATATATATTACTTTTACAATTTAAACAATATGGAAGCATAATAACAGCAGCTGAATTAGATGTATATCCTTTCAGGCTTTTTAATACATGAATTAAAAAAAATATTTGCCAAAAACATGAATGGGACTGAATATCACATATTATTCTACAATCTGCTTTTTTCCCGCTTAAAATAATATATCATGGACAGCTTTTCATTCATATAAAAGACATTATTCTTTTAAATAATAGTGAAATTATCTACCATATTACAATTTAAGTGAAGAAAAAATTAATGTGGTTTTCTGTTCGTATTTATCAAAATTATTTTTGAAAGACATGATGAACTGCCACATATTCAAATAGTATATGCTGGAAAGATAAATTTAGTTTTAGCTTTGTTGGCTTTGAGGTATAACTTGCATAATTTACTTACTACCCCAGATGGCACTGCTGCTTAGCACAAGTGTTTAATGCCTCTAGAAAAACTGTACTATTTTAGGCAATTATTTTTTATTTATATATTTATGTATCAGTTAACAAGTCATGTGTATTTATTGACACCCATCTTGCACCCAATACTGTGTAAGCAATGTTGTTTTGTGATCTTGCCTCTACTTTGAATTTTTTAAACATTCATTAAAATTTTTGCTTCACTTAATTTTAATATTATTTTGTACAGTATTCTCTAAATTTTGATGCCATAAATTTTCATTATTTTATTTTGCTTGAACTGGGTAGTTCTCTTGATTTTCTGATAATCAGTTATAGAAATTATTGTCTGCCAAGATTGGTTTTAGCCATATTCACATATTAGGAATATATAATAATATAATATTAATCTCCCAGCAAATCATCCGTTAACAGATGGTTTGAAGACCTACGTCCTCTCTAACTTTTGTGCATTGTAACCTACTAATAATACAAAATTGGAAAAGAGAACAAACAAAATGAATTTGTTAGGAATCAGTGTGCTTCCATTTCATAATTTGTTGAAGAACATAGCGTATACTGTTTAATCTTTTTGCTTTACAGTGCGTTTAGATTAATCAATATGAATGTGTGTATACTTTTGAAGTCATCATTTGAAACCCCCACTGTTTTTTCTTTCCTTTAGAGGTCTGGAAAATCGAGCCCATAGCGAGCAGTTTAATGCTTTTTTTAGGCTGCCCAAAGAAGAGACTTTGAAAGAAGTACATGAATGTTTCCTATGGGTACCATTCAGCCACTTCAACACTCATGGAAAAATGTGCATCTCAGAAAACTATATCTGCTTTGCCAGCCAGGATGGCAATCTATGTAGTGTAATCATTCCATTAAGAGAGGTAATGTAAATTTGGTTACATATCAGTTTTTAGTTTGAAAACGTTATTATTCACAGAGTAAAATATTGTAATTCTGTAAATTATTTAAAACTCACAGAGTAAAATATTGTAATTCTGTAAATTATTTAAAAATGCAATGTCCTTTTAGTAATTTTTAAATAATAATTTTTTTAAGCTTAGTATTATTCTTCAGGATAAGAGTACCATTCTTCAGGATAAGTGTACTAGGATAAGAGTTTTATAGCTCGTATTGAAAATAAAAATAGAAAAAACTGAAAGTTTATAAATAAGATAAGGGTTTAGGATGACTCAGCATGGAGCATGATCACGCAGACATTTATGACATGAATACCAAAATGTATACTGTTGCATTTGATGCACATGGTCAAAAAGAATAGAATTGATAGCTTTTCTGTAAGTCAGAAATCAGTTGTCAGCATTGCAGCATGAAATTTTTACTTTTGTATTGTCATTTTTGAAAGTTACATGTTAGTTAAACCTTTTACTTAAGAAGTGAAATAACTTGCACCCAGGTTGCTTATGTCAGTGGTACAACTAAGTACCCAACGTCTATTTCTTAATACATCCTAACTATAGACCAAAATTTTTAGCCACAAAAAATAAGCTAAATACATTTTGCCCGACCATGTCAGCAACAAGGGAAAACGTGATTCATTTATGATATGTTTTCACCCCCCAGGTCTTAGCTATAGATAAGACAAATGATTCCAGCAAATCTGTCATCGTTAGTATCAAAGGAAAAACAGCTTTTCGCTTCAGCGAAGTTAAAGAATTTGAGCAGTTGGTGGCAAAACTCAGGCTGAAGTGCGGGGCAGCTTCAACTCAGTATCATGATATTAGCACAGAGGTAATTATACAGCAGTCAAATCATTTTGAAAAAAGGTTTGTATTTTGTGTGGTCCATTCTTTCAAAAGGGATTCATAGTACCTTTCCTATTTATACTGAGGTTTAGTTTTTTTAAAAAGATGAAAACCAAATAAATTATATTCTCTCACATAAAACGGAAGTGAGAATTAAGGACTTCATCCTTTTTTAGGAACTCATACTTTTAAAAAATTATTATCATTTGATTTTTCTTGACTGTATTTGCTGTTTATCATATATACACACCTTGTACTTTCACATAACATGGCTTTTAACAACTCCAGCTATATTTGAGAATTCAACAAGGCCTTGAAAATGGACTCTATGTCAACTCTTATTGCTGTAGAGAGACAGCAGTTTTAAACCAGTCTGAGTAACTTTTATTTAACATTAAATAGGTCAGCCTTATTTATATAATCTAGCCCAAAGCAAAATAATGACATACCTGTTTACTGGTAAAATATTAGAGAGGGCAAATATTCTTGGCAAAGAGTAGTTAAGAGCCTGAATTTCATGCTTGTCTTTCATGGAAATGTAGATAGTTTCAATGCCAAGGAACCTCATGTTTTAATAGCTTGATAAAACATCACATTATAACAATTTATATTTTAATTGAAAATTCAAAGAAAAAATTAACATTGGCTTCACTGGCTGTATTATTTTATTTGAATTGGATTATAGAGGCTTTTACTTCTTTCTCTAGAGCAGAGACTGAAAATACTATGCCAAGTCGATTAGAATCAGGCTTGACAAGACTAACTTCCTTTGATAATATAAAAGCACAATGAAAAAATGTAATTAAAAAATACGTATGTTTCAGTTCTAGACATAGAATCTTTATATTGGCCATCAAGAGTTGTCTTGTTCCAACTTGCTTATCTTTGATTCTCTTCAAGTATGTACCCAGGATATACTGTAATTTGATGTGAGGACACAAGTAAAATCTGATCACTCTTGGTAGTTTCTCTCTCAGTGCTTCCATATTCTTGCTTATGTCACTTTTGTTTTTCTGTCCTATTCCATTTCAGATTCAATCTGTGTGTTAGATTTAATGCTCTGCTTATCTTTCCTTCTTTAATTTATCTGTGTCTCTTAAACCTGAAGAGCTGGATTTTTTCTCCTGAAAACTCTCAGGTACCTCTCTAATAGTTGGGTATGCTCAGTTGTCAAGAAAGGATTCTGTTTCAAAATGAGTTTACCATCTTTTCAGATGTATGTCAAAGTTTTAAGGTTGTCTAGTTTCTCTTACCCGTTTTTAGAGGTTTTAGTAAAGATATATACAAAATACCAGTCAGTATACTGGTTTGCTTGGAAATGTATTTTTTAATTGTCATAACATTTTTACTTAAGATTTTAATCTCAGCAATGAGGAATAATATTGACTTCTTTTAGTATTATCTGTATATGTCTACCTTTATTTATAGCACATTTAAAAAAGTAGTAAAGATAGAACTTTTTAAACAAGAGCTGGTTCCATTTGATTTCTAAACCACAGAAATTGTGGTTACATTATTTTATAGCTACACCTAGCATACTGAAACAAAAAGAAAAAATTACATTCTGTAGTTTTACCAAACCTGGTAAAATTTACACAAACAACAAACCTTTTTAATCTAAATCTCAAAGAAGTCTAAATTGACAGATCTAAATATGAATACAGAAATGACTTTAGGAAATTTTTCTTTAAGTACATCAAAGTATGATATAAAGAACAAATGCTCCCAGAAGTAATTTGGATTATACATAAATGTCAGTTCTGTCCAAATTTTTAAATGTGTCAATTAAAATTCTCCACCTTTTGTTAGGCTATGTTAAAATCTGGTGCATACCCAGGTTTTGAAAAATTCTAATCAAGTACTTAGAAAACACAATAATCTTTTATTTTTATTAACACATATACTCAAGAAATATTACCAGATATGGAAACTTTTCAAAACTATACGAAATGAAAGAAAAATGGGCTCATTTAGCTTAATTTTAAGCCAAGTGGCCTAAGAAGGGAAAGTACTGCTAAAGATCATTTACTCAATGCTTTGAAACTATGTTATAAGTGGATCGTAGGAACAATGGAATGTCAAGAAGAGGTAGAAATTGAGCTATGCCTCGAAATGTTTAGAAGGGCAAATATCTTCTACAGATTATCAAAGTATGAATAAACAAACTTGTTTCATTAGTTCTCATAACCAGCACTAAGTTTTTCTAATTAGAAGTAATGACTTCCTTATTTTACATGATAATGCAGATAAAAATAATAGTTTAACCCATACAACTGGTATTTGTTTGCCTCAATTAAAATAAAATGATATGTTTTCTGTCACTATAACATAAATTAGACAGAGATGTTTAAGCTGTATGGAGTAGATTTATTTCAACATTAGGAAACCAGAAGTTTTATTAAAAAATGAAATTAGCACTAATTTAAAAGTATGTACTATGAACAGGAACCTATTTTAAGGTAAGCTTGTGATATCTAAAAGAAATGTTTCTTTGCACTTTTTTTTTTGTAATTTTTGGTTTTACAGCTCAATTCTGGCACCCAGCCATCATTATTATGCTGGGTTTGTGAGATATTCTAATTTAAATCTAATAGTTTGTAGAAAAGTTACACATAAAGAAATATTAATCTTTGCTCTATCTTTCCTTCACTTTTAGAAACTGTATGCTATTTCTAAAGTCAATGACAGATACCAAAGACCAAACCAGTCTAAGAATACCTATTACAAAGTCAGCAACCTATATTGCTTGCTCATATGATTGGATTTTCCTCAGATACTAAATGTCTGATGAGTGCCAAATTTAAAGCTGTCACAAATGTGAGCACCCAAACAAATGGTTATATAGAATTGGTATGACCGTGGAGTAAAACCCTCCCATTCAAAAGAGCCAGACCAAAAAGAAAATTAAGAAATTTAAACTTAGTTTCTTGAATAATCTACTTTATCATACTCTTCAAACAATGCAAATATTAAATTGCTTTAAACCAACATCTTTGAAGGTGAATATGTTAATGTAATTTAATGAATACCTAAGAGGTAATCATGGTTAGAACTGGCACACTTGCCATCCCTTTTATGAATTTATGTTTGGGGTTTCATTACTTAAGAGATTATTTTTTCTTTTCCTTCTTGGCTACTTTTCCTGTAGTTTCGGTGTACCACTAATAGATAAACTGATGCCTTAGTCATATGGCTTCAAGTAAGGGAATGTACTTTACTTGAGATCTAGACTACCACCATGAAGTTTTAAATCGATTTTGCAAAGACTTAATCCCTCATGAGAACAGCAAAATTTAACATTAATAGTAAAGTAGACTTATCAAAACAAACTTTTTAGGAAAGAAAAGTTGTAACATGGGACCTATACTCACTAATAATTATTTTTTCTTTTGTAAGCTTCTTCTATCCTACCCCTATATTCAGACATTGATTTCAATACTCCTTTTTAATTTTCTTGAATCCTCTTAATTTCCAACCCTTCTAGGTCTTGTTGGCTTTCTTGGGTTTCAAGCTGAAATACTACTGGACTGCTCCACCATAAGCTGCTACTTTTTTTCCACCTTAGTCACGGGAATTCTTTTCAAGTTTCTTAAGCTACTAAAGTTAAAGGGATGATATTAAGTGAGCCTTTTTTTTAGTACTTCTAGTGGTAACCCCAGACTTCTAGTATAGTTATAATCCATAGAAACTGTGATGGACATGTTTTAAAAGTAAAGCTTTGGAAACCATAAAATTAATGTGGAAATACACAGGACCTAGAATAGCTAACACAGTATTGAAGAGGAAGTGCAAATTTGGAGGACTCACAATTCTCAATTTCTAAATTTACTACATAGCTGTAGTAAACAAGACAGCGTGATCCTGGCATAAGGATAGACGTAGATCAATGTAATAGAATTGAGAGTCTAGAAATAAACTCTTACATTTATGGTCAATTGATTTTTCAACAGTGTCGGATAAATTCAATGAGAGAATACAGTTTATCCAACAAATTGTACAGGGACAATGGATGTCCTTAAGAATGGATATTTTTATCTGTGACACAAAAACACATGACAAAAGAAAAAAATAAAAGCAACTTGAGCTACATCAAAATTGAAAGTGTTTCTTCTGTAAATAATACCATCAAGAAAGTGAAAAGACAATTCACAGAATGAAAGAAAATATGTGCAAATTATATCTCTGATTAGAGAAATCCATCCAGAATATATAAAGAACTCCTACAACTCAACAATAAAAGGCAAAGAACCTAATTTTTTAATTTTTTAATAGTCAAAGAATCTGAATACACATGTCTTCAAAGAAGATAAAGAAATGGCCAGTAAACACATGAAGATGTTCAACATAATTAGTCATTAGGGAACTACAAATTAAAACCACAGTGAGATACTATTTAACACCCACTAGGGTAGCTCTAATTAAAAAAAAAACAGACAATAGCAAGTGTTGAGGAGGATGTGAAGAAATTGAAATCCTTCATACATTGTTGATTGATTCTTTGTTTTAATCGTTTTTATCTCTGCTATTATTCTTTGTTTGATGGGACACAGTTGTGATACTTAACTTTTTTATCTTTTTAATTAATAGACTTTATTTCTTAGAGCAGTTTTAGGTTTACAAAAAAAGTGAGAAGTACAGTGAGTTTGTATATACACCTACCTGCCCTCAATCCTGCCCAGTTTTCCCTATTATTAACATCTTGCATTGATATGGTACATTGGTTATAACTGATAAACCAATATGGATACATTATTAACTAAACTCCATAGTTTACATTAGGGTCCACTCTTAGTGTTGTACAATTCTATTGGTTTTGTCAAATGCATAATATGTATCCACCATTATCATACAGGATATTATCCTGTATTTTATCTTATTATTATATTATTATACAGAATAATTTCCCTGCCCTAAATATCCCCTGTGCTCTTCCCTGTTTATTCCTCTCCTGAACCCTTGGTAACCACTGATCATTTTACTGTCTCTGTAATAATGCCTTTTCCAGAATGTTAGTTGAAATCTACCCAATGTAACCTTTTCAGACTGGCTTCTTTTCCTTAGAAATACGTATTTAGTGTTCCTTCATATCTTTTTGTGGTTTATAGCTCATTTCTTTTTTTCAATTAAAAAAAATTCAACAAATATTTATTAAACTTTATGTGTGTAAGGAACTGCCAGGATTTTTTCCAGATTTATTGAAGTAGTTGACATATAACATTGTGTAATTATTTGATATGCATATATATTAAAATGATTACCACAAAAAAGGTGATGCCTTAAGCTTTGTTCTTTCTCAAGATTGCATGGCCTATTCAGGGTCTCTTGTGGCTCCATATAAATTTTAGGAACTTTTTTTGCTATTTCTATGAAAAATACCATTTGAATTTTGATAGGAATTGCCTTGAGTCTATAGATGGCTTTGGTTAATATGGACATTTTAACAATATTAATTTTTCTGATCATGAAAACAAGATATCATTCCAATTATTTGTGTCTTTTTCAGCTTCTTTCATCAGTGTCTTATAGTTTGGGGGACATAGATTTTCACTTTCTTGGTTAATTTATTCCTAAATATTTTACTGTTTTTGATGCTAATGAAAATGAGATTGTTTTCTTTATTTCTTTTCAGATAGTTCATTGTTAGTGTATAGAAACACAACTGATTTTGTATTCTGAAACTTCACTGAATTCATTGATTAGTTGTAACAGTTTTTTGGTAGTCTTAAGGCATTTCTCTATACAAGATCATGTTATCAGCAAACAGAAACAGTTTTACCTCTTTCTTTCTGATTTACATGACTTTTGTTTCTTTTTCTTCCTTAATTTTTCTGGCTAGAACTTATAATACTTTGTTGAATAAAAGTGGTGAGAGTGGGCACCCTTATCTTGTTTCTGATCTTAGAAAATTTTCAACTTTTCACCATGGAGTATGATGATAGCTTTGGGCTTGTCACGTATGGCCTTTATTGTATTGAGGTATGTTCCTTCTATGCCCACTTTGTGAGAGATTTTATTATGAAAGGATGTTGAATATTTGTCAGAATAAATTTTCTGTATCTAGTGAGATGATCATAAGATTTTTACCTTTCATTCTATTAACATGATATATCACATTTTGATTTGTGTATTTTGAACCATCCTTGCCTCCAGGGATAAATTTCACTTGATGATGGTGTATGATCCTTTTAATGTGCTGTTGAAGTCAGTTTGCTAAGTATTTTGTTGAGAATTTTTGCATCTATACTCATCAGGGATTTTGACCTGTAATTTTCTTTTCTTATAGTGTCCTTATTTAGCTTTGATATCAGGGGAATGCTGGCCTTGTAAAATGAGTTTGGGAATGTTCCTTCCTCTTCAATTTTTTGAAAGAGTTTGAGAATTAGCATTAATTCTTGTTTAAATGTTTGGTAAATTTCACCTGTGAAGCTATGTGATCCATGGCTTTTTGTTTTTGCTGGGAGGTTTTGGATCACAGATTCAGTTTCCTTATATATTATTGGTTATGTTCAGATTTTCTGTTTTTATGATTGTCTTGGTAGATTGTATGTCTCTAGGAATTTGCCCTTTTCTTCTATGTTGTCCAATTTGTTGGCATATAATTGGTCATAGTAGTACCTTATGATCTTTTGTATTTCTGTATTATCAGGCATAAAGTCTCCTCTTTCATTTCTAATTTTTATGTTTGAATCCTCTCTCCCTTATTTTTCTTGGTAAATCTAGCTAAAGATTTGTCAGTTTTGTTTATCTTTTCAAAAAGCCAATTCTTAGTTGTGTTGATCATTTCTTTTTATTGCTGAAAAATATTCCATTGTCTGTACGTACCACAGTGTTTATCCATTCACCTATTGAAGGACAGTATAGTTGCTTCCAATTTTTGGCAGTTATGAATAAAGCTGCCATAAACATTCATGTGCAGGTTTTTGTGTGGACATAAGTTTTCAACTCATTTGAGTAAATAGCTGAGAGCACAATTTTTGAATCATGTGGTAAGACTATGTTTAGCTTTTTAAAAAACTGTCACACTGTCTCTTAAAGTAGCTGTACTGCTTTGCATTGCCACCAGCAAGAAAAGAGAGTTCTTGTTCCACATCCTCAGTAGCACTTGGTGCTATCAGTGTTTTGGATTTTAGCCATTTTAATAGGTGTGCAGTGGTCTCCTATTGTTTAAATTTGCAATTCCCTAATGACATATGATGTTAAGCATCTTTCATGTGATTATTTGCCATCTTTCTGTGGTGATCTTTTGCCCATTTTTTAACTGGTTTCTTTATTTTTTAAAACAGTCCCGTTTAGTTCTTTGAATATATTTATAATAGCTGCTTTCCGCTCTTAGTTGCCAAAATCCAAGAAGCAAGCCTCTTCAGGGACATTTTTTGTTGGTTTTTTTTTTAAGTTCTCATTTTTATTTTTAAGCCTGTCTTCTCATATCACCCCCTGAATCAGTATAAACAATTAGTGGTCAGGCCATGATGGGTCAGAAGTGTTTAAATGCCTTGAACCATTTAAGTTTTCCACCTTTTGCTCAGGGGATCTTTGTGTGAAGATATACTTCAAACTTTAGGCAGTTTACAAATCAGCCTTAGCTTTCATTTCTTATTTCCAAAATCAGCCAGAGTTGACTGACTGGGGCCTTCTCCTGTCTCATTTCTTTCTTGGGCCAGGTTCACAGTCCTGTATATGCATGCACACTTCTAGATACCCAAGATAATGTTGGAACCTTTCAAAGTTCCCCTGTGGTCATCTGATTCTCAAGCTCTTCCTTTTAAATTTTTAGTCAGTCTCTTGTTTGCCTCAAATTGAAATCACAGCTCTTAAGCAGCTGTAATGTTATTAGCAGATTGCTATGGTTTTCTGGAATGCCCTGGGGATGGGGCCCTTTACACAGAGCTGAGCTCTGAATCAAATCAAATTATAACAACACTCTGGGAATGGAGATTTTCCAGGGAGCTGCTGGTTTGGTGAAAATAGTGTTCTGGGGATGGGGCTTTTAATAAAGCTCCAAAAGATCCATTGGCTGTGATAATGCTGGCTTTCATGGATACTGTACCTCTGAGCTTGGGAATGGGAACAGCCTCAGGTTTAAACTTTCCAGACTCTGGTGTTCTTACTGAGGTTCATTTTGAATTGATGCTTTTCAGTTCTTTCTGTGCCTTTGGTTAATTTACAAAATTCTGAACTGTTCTTTTTTTTTTTTAATGTTTTGCCAGTATTTTGTTGCCTGTGTAGGGGAGTTGGTCCACTAAGAGCATGAGTTTGATGTTCTAGACATTGGTTTGTTGACATCTCTAATTTTGATAGAAAAACAATGTTCGTCTGAAACATTGCTTTAATATGTGTTATGTATATAGATTGTTGTTTATAAATAACGGGTTGAACATGGTCGCTTTTTCTTCTTGCAGAAACCTTTATGCATACATTTAGGACAATTATATTCTTTCTTTTTCAGGTTCCTATTAGTTCTGATTCTGTAGGCCCATCTGATAATACTGAGGTACAGTCTTTGACATGTCAGAGAGAATGCAGTAAAACTGTGAACACAGAAGCCTTAATGACAGTGTTTCATCCTCAGAATTTGGAGACTCTTAATTCCAAAATGGTAGGAAAACAAAATATTTTAATCTATAGACTGAAACAGTTGATCGAAAATAAAAATCTTAAATCAGACTAGAAGGTATCACAACTGAAAGCTCTTTTGGGAGCTTGAAAATCGATTTTCTAGCAGATAGTACTGTTTTGTTCCATTACACAATAGGGCTGTTACCAAGAATTAAGATAAAAGATGAAAGTTGAACCTTAGGTTTTAGTTGCATAAATTTCTAATAATCATTCCTTATTGGGGTGATTTGATGAGATTGATGATTCAAAACTTTACCTCTTAAGTGTAATGCTTTTTAAATATGCATTTAGCTAAGAATTAAAATAGTAAATTAAAGCTGTTACACTCATATGGATTTAAAAGATTTTAGTGATGACAGTGGTCCAGTATTTGGCCTGTCCATGAAGACTGATTTTGACTTTCTATGTTCTTCATTTCCTTGGGAATTGTTTCATGGGGAAGAGAGTTATTGAGTTATTTGAAACTTCAAATTAAGTTTTTTCACTGTGTTTAGTTGCTTTGATTGTTTTGTTATAGTTGAAAGAAAAGATGAAGGAACAGTCATGGAACATCCTATTTGCAGAATGTGGGCGTGGTGTTAGCATGTTTCGGACCAAAAAGACTCGAGATCTGGTTGTAAGAGGGATTCCAGAGACCTTAAGAGGAGAGCTCTGGATGCTTTTTTCAGGTATTACATTTATTCACTTTATTCATTTAGCAGACTTTACCTATGCCCGTTATAGGCGTTACACACCAAGCTAAATAAAAATAATTACAAAGATGACTAGGACTAAGTCTTACTCTTCGTGAGTTCAGACTAGTCAAAGAGAGTAAGGTACACATCCATTGTGTGAGCAGTATAGTTTATTAGACAATATATGGGTAATTGCAGGGGATAGGGTGGGAATTTTTTAGTGTCAGAGGAAAGTTAAGGTGAAAAGACAGTTTATGAAAATGTTATTCTTTTGGATGAGATTGATGTCATGATATTATAAATTCTGGTGTCAAGCTTTTCCTTTTCTCTTGTTTGTACTCTGTTACCATGTGAGCATAAAGCTAAGTTTAAGGGTAATTCAATTCTTCATGTATATATGCAAGTAGTAGCCTTATAGCCCTCTTTTGAATGTTAATGTAATCATGTTTACAGGTGCTGTTAATGACATGGCTGTTAATCCTGGCTATTATGCTGAAGTGGTCGAACAGTCCTTAGGGACCTGCAACTTGGCTACTGAAGAAATTGAGCGTGATTTGCGTCGCTCCCTGCCTGAGCATCCAGCCTTTCAGAGTGACACTGGCATATCTGCGCTGAGGCGGGTACTCACTGCTTATGCATTCAGGAATCCCAAAATTGGATACTGCCAGGTATGATTTCATTATGAGCTCAACTGTTTACATGTTCCAAATGATAAAATCACATCAAATCCAACTCTACTAATAAGGACAGAAGTTAGGCTGAGATTAATAGTGGCTATTATTAATCTAAGTAGAATGGTAGTGGGAATACTTAGAATTGATATTTCATTATTTTTGTTTTACATTTAACAAATGTTTATTGAATTTCTGCTCTGGAAAAGATACTCTGCTGGTGCTCAAGACTGCTGGGGACACAGCAGGCTGGGCTGGTGTTGCCGGTAATAAAAGAATTTACCAGAGACAAAGGACAGCTTAAAAAACAAAAGTTTAATAGATATGCTGCTACAGGCAACAGCAGGCCCCACAGAGGAGAGGTGCCTGTCTGAGTACCAAGGGTGAACGTGCAGGGTCTTTTACTGAGGAAGGGGCTGTGAACACAAAGGGATAGGGCAACAGATTTGTGATTGGCTGTAAGTGAGGTAAGACTTGTCAGGGGCTACTCTGAGTAATGGGATTTATGACTCTGTTAAGTACGAGATATGCAGTGATGCCTGTCTGCCTAGGGTATTGTGATTAGTCATTTCCTGGGGGCGGTTAGTTTTGTTATGATAAACACACATCCAGGAAGATGTTTTTATCCTGTAGTGGGGAGTTGGAGGTGAAGGGTGCCAGTCAGCTCCAGGCACATGGAGGGCCCAGGAATGGGGGTTTTAATGGCTTTAGAGAGGCTTCAAAGAGACTTCAGAGAGCACCAGACAGCTCCACAAAGGCGATATAAAGATGAATCAGATAAGGATCCTTCCCTTAGAAGTGTACAGATTGGAAAGAAAAAAAGTATATGGATTGGTAGGTATTAAAACATATTCGTTGGCAAATGAAACACAAATGAGGTAAATTATCAGAAGTGTATGAAGTCAGGGTTTATAATAGGGGTAAGTTGTTTTCATTGGCAGGAACAAAGAAGCCTTCTTTGAAAAGGTGGCATTTATAGGTCTTGAAATTGGGGAGTTTTGGGTGTATGGACATGGAATGAAAGAACATTCTTGGTGGAGGGATCAGTGTAACCAAACACAGAGGTAAATGTAGAATATATATAAGGCTATATTCTGTTTAGTAGAAATGCAGAGGGAATTAAATGAAATAATTGGAGGAAAAAAATGAGGTAGATTGGGATAGGTCAGGAGTTTCAATTTTATATTGTAGGCAGTGGAGGGATCATTGAAAAAAATTCCTTTAGGAGCTCACTATATTGGTTAGGGTGTGCTAGACTGCTTACACAGATAATCTCAAACAGATAATAGCTCAAACACAGTAGGAGTTTACATAAAGGAATAAACCAAGGAGAGCAAGTATTCAAGTCAGTAGGTAGCTCTCCTCCATATGATTGATTTTTCAAGGATTTAGGCTAACAGCAGACTCTGTCATCTTCAAAATGTGGCTTCCAAGGTGCTCTTTCATTGCCATTACTACTCACAGAAAGGGGGAGAGAGCGTGGAGAAACAATTGTGGGAGATTTTATTGGCTAGGCCTGGAAACTGCATACATCACTTCACCCACATTTTATTGGAGAATCTTGCTCTCATAGTCACACCTATTCACTGCAGAATGCAGTGTGGCTGAGCCCACATACATTTAGATACTATGGAAGAAGAGGAGATTGGATTATAGTGGATAGCTAGCACTCTCATTTATAATGAGGTTGAGCACTCAGAATGATTACAGATCAATCCTGTGTATCCATGGAAACTTATCAGATAGACAGGTATTTTAATGAAAAGCAATTTAAGTGAATGGATCATCTAAATGACAAGTATTTCCCATGTTTTAGGATCTCTGAAAGATTAAAAAAGAGGCATAATGCTGCTTTTCTCAAAGAGCTTACATTCACAGAGACTGTGATGTTATCTATAAGTAGTATAGAGGCAGCTTCAAAGTAGGCAATACTTGGTTGTGACTTCTAAAAGATAAGAGCAAAGTTGGAGACGTGGAGGGCCAGAGGAAAGTTATTCTGAGTCAGGTAACACTATGAGTAATACCATTCGGATGACAGTAAGCCTGCATTGGAGATCAGACTGGCTAGGTTCATGCTGGAATCAAGAAGTAAAGTAAAAAATTTGAATTTAATACGGTAAACAGGGTTTATTGCTTTGGATCAGAAATCCATGTGAGCCATACTGACTCATTTTGGCTGGCTGACTGTCTTGCTTTATTTATCTTTCCTTCTCCCCACCCTCCCTCCCTGCCTTCCATCTCTCTGATCTGTTTTCTTCCTTCTTTTCTCCCTTTCTTTTCTTTTTTGATTCCTTTTTCTTTTCATCTATCTAGAGAAATTCACCCATTATTTTTTTTAGTATATTCACAAAGTCATGCAACCATCATTGCTATCCAATTCCAGAACACTTTCATCACCCCAAAAAGAAGCCCCATATCCATTAGCAGTTACTCCATTTTTCTCCCTACCTCCAACACTAGGCAATCACTAATCTACTTTTCTGTCTCTATGGATTTGCCTCTTATGGATCTTTTATCTAAATGGAATAATACAGTATGTGGTCTTTTGTGTCTGCCTTGTTTCATTTAGCATATTGTTTTCAGGGTTCATCCATGCTGTAGCATGTATTAGCACTTAATTCCTTGTTATGGCTGAATAATATTCCATTGTATACATACACAACATTTTGTTTTTTCAGCAGTTGATGGGCATTTGGGGTTGTTTCCATATTTTTGCTATTATGAATAATGTTGCCATGGATATTCACATACAGCTTTTTGTGTGGATGTGGTTTTTGATTCTTTTGGGTATTTAACTAGAAGTAGAATTGCTGAATTATATGGTAACTTTATGTTTAACATTTTGGGGCACTGCCAAGCTATTTTTCAAAGAAACTGTACCATTTTACATTCCCAGTAGCAATGTATAGGGTTCCAATTTCTGCACATCCTCAATAACACTTATTGTCTCTCTTTTTTATTATAGCTATCCTAGTAAATGTAAAGTGGTATCTTATTGTGGTTTTGATTCACATTTCCCTAATGTGCTTATTGGCCATTTGTATATATCTTCTTAGGAGAAATGTCCATTCAAATTCTTTGCCAATTTTTAAAGTTGGGATATTGCTGAGTTGTAATGGTTCTTTATATATTCTGAATACCAGTCCTTTACTAGATACAATATTTGCAAAATTTTTCTCCTGTGGATTGTCTTTTTCACTTTTTCGATGGTGTTCTTTGAAGCAGGAAAGTTGTAATTTTTATTTTTATCTCTTTTTCTTTTGTTGTGTGCTTTTGATGTCGTATCTAAGAAGCCATTGCCTAATCCAAGGACAAAAAGATTTACTTCTATGTTTTCTTCTAAGAGTTTTATTGTTTCAATGTTTAATTTTAGATCTCAGCCAGTTAATTTTTGTGTGTGGTGTATGGAAAGGGTCCAGCTTCATTTTACTTGTGGATAGCCAGTAGTCCCAGTGTCATTAGTTGAAAAAAGCTAATCTTTCACTCATTGAATTGTCTTGGCACCCTTGCTTAAAATCAATTGACTATAAATGTTAAGGTTTATTTCTCAACTCATAATTCTATTCTATTACTTTACATTTCTGTTCTTATGCCAGTATCATACTGTCTTTTTTTTACTACAGTTGTGTAGTAAGTTTTGAAATTGGGAAATGTGAGTCCTTTAACTTTATGTTTTTCCAAAATTGTTTTGACTCTTTTGGGTCTCTTGCAATTCCATATTAATTTTAGGATCTGCTTGTCTTTTTCTGAATCAGAAAGAAAAGGCCAGCTGGAATTTTGATAGTCATTGCATTGAATCTGTAGATCAACTTGGGGAATACTATGTGTTAGCAATATTAAGTCTTCTAATCCATGAACACTGGTCATTTTTCTTTTCCATTTATTTAATTCTTTTAAAATTCCATTCAAGGTTGTTTTGTAGTTTCCTATGTGCAAGCTTTATACTTCCTTTGTTAATTTTATTTCTAAGTATTTTACTCTTTTTGGCATTATGGTAAATGGAATTGTTCTCTTGCTTTTATTTTTGGATTATTCATTGCTAGTATATAGAAATACAATTGCCATATATATAAATATAAAGATATATATATAGGGGAGGGAGGTCTTGTATCTTGCAACCTTGCTGAGCTTGTTTGTTCTAGTAGATTTTTTTGTGGATTCCTTACTTAGGATTTTCTACATACAAGACTGGGATCTGAATAGTAGTATTTTTACTTCTTCCATTCCAATCCAGATGCTTTTTTCCCCCTCTTTTTCTTGCCTAATTGAGCTGGCTAGAACTTTGAGTAAAGTGTTGAAGAGAGGTGGTAAGACTGCATATTCCTGTCTTGTTATTTATCTTAGGGGGAAGTAATCAGTCTTTCATCATTAAGTATGATGTTAGCTGTGGGAGTTTTGTAGATTCTCCTTATCATGTTGAGGAAGTTCTCTTATATTCCTAGATTGTTGAGTGTTTTTATCATGAAAGGGTGGCAGATTTTGTTAAGTAATTTTTCTTGTCTATTGAGATAATCGTATGATTTTTCCCTTTTATTCTAGTAATATTATTGTTGACCTGAAACAAGTAGACTACCAGATATTTCTTCAGCAAAGATGGGTTTATTTGGGATCAGCAGAGATTTGCAATTTGGAGTCTACAACCATGGCAAGCCATGGGCAAGTTCCCCAATAGCAAGTGGAGGAAAACCCTTTTATAGAGGGATAAGGAAGTTGGAAGGGCTATAATAATATCCATGGCTTTTCCTTGGCTGAGTCCTTGCCAGGAAAGAAGAGGAGTCTTTCTCCTCCCTGTTGGGCTCTGCCGTAGTTGCAGGGCATGAGAGCTCTTCCTTCTGGTCACCCAACTCTATTTAACTGAGGTTTCTGTATTTTTTATATCGTATATTACTTTGATTACTTTTCATAAGTTTTACCACTCTTGTGTTTCCAGGATAAATCTCACTGGGTCACAGTGTGGAATCCTTTTTATATGTTACTGTTCAGTTTGCTAGTATTTTGTTGAAGATTTTTGCATTTATATTTATAAAATATATTGATACATATTTTTCTTATGATATCTTTGTTTGGTTTTGGTATCAGGGTCTCAAAGATTGAGCTGGGTAGTGTTTCTTCTGCTCACATTTTTTGAAGAGTTAATGAAGGATTGGTGTTAATTCTTTAAATGTGTGGTAGAATTTGCCAGTGAAGCTATCTGTTCCTAGAATTTTCTTTGTGGGAAATTTTCTCATTCAGTTTCTTTACTTGCTACAAGTCTGTTCAGATTTTTCTATTTTTTTCTTGAGTTGCTCTTGGTAGTTTTTCTAAGAAATTGTCCATTTAATCCAGGTCGTCTAATTTGTTAGCATACAGTTGTTCTTCGTATTCCCTTATAATCCTTTTTATTTCTGTTAAGGTTGGTAGTAATGTTCTCTGTTTCCTGATTTTAATTTGAATCCTCCCCCCACCTCCCCCTGCCTTTCTGTCTTTCTGTTTTTTACCGTTTTGGTTAGGCTACCAAAAGGAATTTCTAGTTTTTTAATATTTTCAAAATACCAACTTTGGGCTTTGTTGATATTTCTGTTTTTTTTTCCTATTCTCTATCACTTCCTGTTTGTGCAGAGCCTCAAGATTAGCCAGAGGTAAGAGCTTAGATCCTTTTCTGTTCTTTCCTGAGCATACACACAGCTCTGGGCAGGCATAAAGCCATATCAATGCAGTTGGCCTTCTAGATTCCCAGGCATATGTTAAGAGCGTTGTTCCACAGCGCCCCAAGAATATCTCATCTCCCAGCTTTTCATTTTAACCTTTAATGACCTACTATTTGGCCCAACTGTTATCCACTGCCTCAGGCAGCCACATGTTCAGCAACTGCTTCTGATTTTTTGAAGGAACATTCTAGGGAAAAAGGCTGTTTGCCCTGGGTGAGCTCTGTGTCAGGTCAGATAAAGACAATCAGTGTGTTCTTCCAGGGAACCACCAGACAGGTCAAATAATGACAGTTCTCTGGGAATGGGGCTTTGAAGAAGCTCCAGTCCCATTCTGTTCCCTCTCGTGGCTGCTAGATGCTGATTTTCACCATGATTGCTGAGTGTTGGTTTTTAAGGCTACTGTGAAGCTGAGGAGGAGGGATGAGACTAGGGCAATTAAAAATGCCATAGAGCTCATTATTTTTACTAAGAGTCAGCCATTTTATTAAATAAATGCTTCCTGAATTACTGTAAGCTTTTGGTGAATTTTCAGAGTTCTGAAAAAATGATTTTGACAATTTTTGCTAGTCTTACTGCTTTTTTAGAGGAGAGCATTTTTGGAGGGCCTTACTCTGCCATTTTTCACTGATGTTTCTCCCATTATGGCTTTTTTTTTTTAACATTTTTTCATTATGGCTTCTTGAACAGGAAAGTGATGGAGTAAAAATTGAGCTTGAGGTCAAATATTGTGCCAGATATGGCAGTGAATTGACATAATTTATATACAAATATATAAGAAAAGTATTGAATTATGAAAACGAACAATGGGCATGAAAAGATTAGCCACAGAACAAAAAAAATATAGATTAATAACAAAGTCTAAGAAACAAAGTTCAACCTCAAAGAAGTTCAAATTCAAACCATGAGATACCATTTTCGCTATCAAATCAGCAAAGCCAATTATGATTATTACAAAGGAGCAGTGAAATAAGCATTCAAACACTATAATTCAGAACTATAAATCAGTACAATCTTTCTGGAATATAGTTTGGCAATAATATCAAGTCATTTAAAAATAATCTTCTTTGACCAAATAATTTCATTTCTATGTATCTTTCCTGAGAAAATAGTAAAACACTTAAATGAAGATTTATATACAAAAATATTCATTTCAGTGTTATATATAATAGTATAAAGTTGAAATCAACCTAAATGTCTAATAATAGTAGAATGATTAAATAATTTATAGTATGTTCAACTTATTAGATTATTTCACAGTCATTAAAACTACTGTTTTAGAAGAATTATTTAATGGCATTGAAAATGTATAACATAATGTTCAGTGAAAAAAAATCAAACTTTAATATACAGTTTGGTCTAAATTTTAGGAGAAAAGGGAAAGAAATAAAAGCATACAAAAAATACATCAACTTGTTAACGTTGGTGATCTCTAGGTAGGTAGGGTACAGGAGATTTAATTTTCTTCATACCTTTCCATTCTTTCCAGGCTCTATACATTAAAGGTTTTATTACCTTTATAATAAAGGCTATGGCCAAATGTTGTCTAAAAGTAATGATCTGACATTTGTATGGAAGATAGATTAGAAGAAGGAGAAAGTCAAGATGGTAATGGGGGTGGAAAGGATAAAGCAAATCTAAAAGACATTTTCTAAGAAGAAACTCTAGGATATGAAGACAGATTGTATCTGGAAGATAAAAGGTTTCTAGCATGATCAAAATTAAGATATCAAAGAAGAGAATCCTATTTAATAGAGGAAAGAAGATGTTTAGTTTTGGACACAACTGAGGGTGATTGACATCTAAGGAATATTCTCCTGTAGGTAGTTGAAAATACAGATGAAGTCTGTTTCTCCGATTTTAGTATGTCTTGGAAAGTATGTACGGTTTTTTCAAGATTTGTAGTAATTAATATTTTCTACTTGTTGAAATTAGTCTAAATTAGAGAGGTTTTACTTATTGTGTTCTGTGTTCATGATATTACTGCTTCATTTTCCTTGAATTGTATAAAATATATATATACATATGTATAATTACTGATTAGCAGATATTAGTCTGACTTCACCTTGTTTTGCTTTGGACTGGCTCAGAGTTCTCATGTTTCGTTATGATTAGTCTCATAGTTGTTATTGCTGAAAACTACTATGTTTGAAGAAGAAATGTAATTGTTACCCGAGCAATATTTATTATTTTTATTTTTCTATGAATTTTAGGCAATGAACATTTTGACTTCAGTGTTGCTTCTGTATGCAAAAGAGGAAGAAGCTTTCTGGCTTCTGGTTGCTGTATGTGAACGAATGTTACCTGATTATTTTAATCGTCGAATCATTGGTAAAAAAACCTCACATACACATATACCTATACGAACACTTATTTCTTTTCTAAACAATTTGTAGACCTCTTGTCTATACAATTATCTGTCAAATGGAAGAACTGATCAATTAAGTTTTGAAGTATACAAAATGCAAACAATATCAAAGTGTCATGTTTACTGACATGTTCAAGAGAAGAGCTTTTCGTACTGAATATATGACTGGAAAAATTGTTTAATAGGTTATGTTTTAAAAATAAAATACCTAGTCTGTTTCTTTATAAAAATACAAATTTTAAGTTTGCTATCTCTATATTGCTGAAACAGTGGTGATCAAAGCATCTGGAGCTACTGAAATTTTTTTAATATGAGAGAGAGATTTTAATCATCTTAAAATCTCCACATTTATATGAATTGTATAGATATATACAAGGTTTGAAAGAAGGATTAGCTTCTCAATTTGTAATTATATAATATTTTCTTCAGTTATCAAATATTTATAGAGCTGTGAGCCCCTACCTTAAAACTATAGGTGGTCTCTCCTTTGCACCCTCATAAGCCTTCAGTATCATGGCTAGGTCATTGACTGGATTGTCTTGTGTTAGTTATTTTTGTATTTACCTTAAGTTCTATTAGATATTAAACTCTTTGAAGATGAGATCATTTCATTAATTGCTGCTATCTCTTACAGCACCTATTACAGGTTTCTGCACATAATAAAGATCCCATAAATAACTATTTAAATGAATATGAATTGAGTTTCTCAAGTACCTCTTGATGCATGATACTGCCAGCAGATAAAAAAAATGTGTGAAATATAGAAAAGGCACTGAAGAAGTTCATGTTTTAAGGAAGAGGAATGAGATATATCAGCATACTAATAGAAGTGGGAAGGTATCAGAAACAAGTCCTTTTAAAAGGTGTTCATTTTTTAATTTCTTCATGTGTTCTCCAGGTGCCTTGGTGGATCAGGCAGTCTTTGAAGAACTTATCAGAGATCACCTCCCCCAGCTGACCGAACACATGACCGATATGACATTCTTTTCCTCAGTTTCTCTCTCATGGTTCCTCACACTTTTTATTAGTGTGCTACCTATTGAAAGTGCAGTGAATGTGGTGGACTGTTTCTTCTATGATGGAATAAAGGCCATTTTACAACTGGGACTGGCAATACTTGACTATAATTTAGACAAACTGCTGGCATGTAAAGATGATGCTGAAGCTGTGACAGCTTTAAACAGGTACTGTGAGAACTATAACATATAAATCTGGAGAGCCCCTTAGAGATTATGTTGTTCAATTTCCTTGTTTTATACGTGAGGAAACTGAGCCCTAGAAACTTTAAACAATTTGCTCAAAGTCACAAAGTTAATTGAATGAAAAGCTAGGCCTAAAGTCTGCTCTTCTGTTTCCAAGGAGAATATAATCAAAGTCAGTTACTTTGAAGTAAACCAGTAGGTTATGTACACATTCACACTAGTATTGTTGATTCAATATGCTGGAACTTTCATAGTCCCAATTTGAGCTATGAAGTGTATAAGAACAATTTGAGGGGGGAAAGGTGGTTGATAATATTAAATATCCAGTGGGGGAAATTGTTCTGGTTTCCAGCTGGTTTCAGTCAGGTAGGCTGAGCTTTCCTAGTGCCTTTTCTGTGGATGCTATTTTGTATTGAAACGTGTGTGTGTATGCGCGTGCGTGCATGCACACACACACTATGTTATGTATGTGTTAAATGAATGAATATTTGGGTAGCTGTTGTAATGGTGCAGTAAATCCCATTTATGTGCAGAATAAAATACAGACACCTCACGCTGGCATTTAGAATTCTCTATGTTAAGTCTTCAATATATCTTTCTTAAATTATTTCTCCTTACATGCCTCTATATACCCTATATTCCATCCTTACTGGGCTATGTGGTGTTTGCTGAATACTCTCTGAGCCTATCTGCTTCCCCTGTGCTCTCCTCCCACCTCTGAAATCATTTCATCATTGTCCCATTCCCCGCTTCCATGTCTTCCTAATTCCTCACCATCTTCAAATTCTACTTCCTCATAAGACCTTCCCTTGTCCTCTCAGTTGAAATTAATCTCTAACTAGGGAGAAATTAGTTGTCATTTTCCCTACATTTTACTTCTACTAATTCTTGTATTACTATCACTTTTGGATAGGTTCTTTGACAATGTCACTAATAAGGATAGCCCATTGCCTTCAAGTGTGCAACAGGGTTCAAATGTAAGTGATGAAAAAAGCAGTCATATTAGAGTGGATATTACAGATTTGATTAGAGAGTCAAATGAGGTAAGTTTTTTTATACCATAAATATATAGCATATGATACTATAGTTATATTTCTAGTGGTATGTTAAGAGTAAGATAATACAAGTAAAGATACAGTCATTTAAAATCCGACTTCACTTTAAAAATGAGTTCTGTGAAGAGAAAGAAAAATGCTGTATGATATCGCTTACATGTGGAATCTAAAAAAAAAGACACAAATGAACTTATTTATAAAACAAACAGAAACAGACTCACAGACATAGAAAACAAACTTAAGGTTACCAGAGGGGGAAGGGAGTGGGAAGGGATAAATTAGAAATTTGAAAGATACTAACTGCTGTATATAAAATAGACAACAAGATCCTACTGTATAGCACTGGGAACTGTATTCATTTTCTTGGAGTAACCTATAATGAAAAACAATATGAAAATTAATATATATATATATATTATATATATATATATATATATATATATATATATATATAACTGAAACATTAATGCTGTACACCAGAAATTGAAACAGCATCGTAAACTGACTATACTTCAATAAAAATAAAAATTTAAAAAATGAGTTCTGTGAAACTGTTCCTAAGTTATATAACCTCCTCTGCTTCAGTTTGTTTTTCATTAAATGAAACTATATTCACATGGGTATCTATCATTATATAAAAAGCTGAAAAACATTCTCTTCATAGAGAATAAGAATTTTACCAATGTTCTTGTACTTAGTCTAGACCCATAGTAGATGGAATCCTCTCCTGTGAATATACAGAAAAACTGAAACGTGGGAGGTGAAATTTTGCATAATCACTGAACAAGTTAGGAAAATAGCTAGAAATAGAACTGAGGCCTCTGAGAATTGAATCTGATGAAATTCAATTGTAAGAGAAGTGGATATTTATTATGAATGAGTACCCACTGAAGTCATATTTCTTGCAGAAATATGGGAATATGCGCTACGAAGATATACATAGTATGCGGTGTCGAAATAGATTGTATGTGATACAGACCCTGGAGGAAACGACAAAGCAGAATGTGGTGAGTATCCACCCAGTGGGGGACAAGCAATTGGAGTAATTTCCTCCTCAGGTTCCTTTAAAAAATTATCATTCCATGTGAAGAAAATAAAATGACTACACATTTGAGCTAGATTCTTGCCACACCTTAGCTTACTGTAAATTTTTTGAGAGAAAATAACTAATTTTCTTCTGGCTGAATGTATTGGTTTCTCCAACATGTTTTGTGTTATTTGACCTTTAATATTGAATGCTGCGATGTAGGCATTTAAGCGTAACCTGTTTGTGATGTGCTTCATCAATAAGAACAGCTGACCTACATAGTAGTCTGTGCTGCTGCTATGTATTATTATCCTTGGATCCCTAAGGTAAAGTGAAAAAGGTATAAAACAGGTTGTTTTAAGTACTCCTTTGAAATATTTGGATGGCTACATAACAAGCTGTTTATATCGGTTGCCTCTGGTGAGTGGGATTAATAGATTGCTGTTTGGAAGAGGGATTGTTTTACTTTGCTGTGTAAATCCTTCTGTACTATTTGAGCTTTTATCGTAAGCATGGATTGTTTTTGTAAACCTACTGGCTTAAAGATCAAGTCCTCAGAGATACAAAGCTGGGAAAATTAACATTTCTGAAGATTCCAGGTTTAGATGGCAATTAAATAATTCAGTGATGTTACTGTGAGAGAGTTACCATAGAGCTCCCTTGTTTATCGTTTTTATATATTAACTTTAAAAAAAGATACCAAAGTAATACGTGCTTACTGTAAATAATTCAAACATTATAGAAATGTAAAAAAGTAAAAGTTTTCTACCCCAGGAGTAACCAATATTAAAATGATTTTGCACGTATCCTTCCAGATATTTTTTCTAAACACCTATAGACCTAAATGTGTATGTGGGGGGGGCAATATAATTTTTAAAATATCGTATCAGTTACCTTGTTCTGCAAGTTTTTTCACTCAGAAATATCTCACGGTCATTGCATATCATTCAATATCTCACTTTTCTTAATGCACTGAATAGTCTACCACAGTATGGAGGTCTTATACCTAACTATTCCTTGTTAATATGGATTTAGTATCTCTCTCTCTTTCACTTTTTGCACTCTTACAAGTAATACCTTATCTAAACAACATGGGTTTGAACTGCACAGGTTCACCTACATGTGGATTTGCTTGAGTAAACATGTATTACAGTACTACAAGATCCATGGTTGGTTGAATATGTAGATGTGGAACCATGGATATGGAGGGCCAACTGTAAAGTTATACGCAGATTTTTGATTGTGCTGAAGGTCAGTGCCCCTCAACCCCCATGTTGTTCAAGGGTCAGCTGTATATCTAATCTTACACATTTGTAAGAATATTTCTGTAAGGTAGATCCCTGGAAATGGCAGCTGGTTCAAAGTGTGTGCCCATTTAAAAATTAGTAGGTTCTGCTAAATTATCCTTCAGAAGATTTGTATTGGGGGATGGTATAAGGTCCTGGGTTCAATCCCAGGCACCTCCAAAAAATAAATTAATACCTAATTACCCCCCAAAGAAAAGCAAACACTAAATAAATAAAGTGGAAAAAACCCAAAAGATTTGTATCAAATTATAATCCCACCAACAGTGTGTAAGAATGCCCTTATCCCTGCACTCCCACTAACATCACATATTAAAAATCTTTTAATTTGGGCCAGTTCGATAGATAAAAAAACTTAAATCTCACCTTGTAATTTCATTGATCACATATGTTTATTAACCTTTTTCATTTTTTTTCTTAGTGGCTTATTTTTAGCATTTGCCCATTTTTCTATGAGGTTGTATTTTTCTTACTGATCTTTAGGAGCTCTTTGTATATTAGTGGTATTAATTATTTGTCAGTTATATTTGTGGCTAATATTTCCCCTCAGTCTTGTTGTTTCTTTCATCTTTTTGACGGTGTATTTCAGAGTATATAAGTTTCAAATTTTTATGTAGTCAAATCTCTTTTTTCTTACATGTTGTGTGGGTTTCATGTCAAACTTAGCAAAGCCTTCCCAATATAAAATTATACAATTTGTAAACATACTTTCTCATATTGGCTTATAGTACTGGTATTGCTTTTTTTTTAACATTTAGATCTTTAATACACCTAAAGTATATATTTTGTTTATAGTGTGATATAGGACTCTAATGATTTTTTTTTTGCAACTGACATAGCCCATTATTTGAATACCATTTATTGAATAGTCCATCCCTACTGTACTCTGCCTTTTTTGTATAAAATTTCTATACTAAAGTGTTAAATTCTAAATTGCTTTTAATCTTTTTAAAGTTGCGTGTTGTTTCACAAGATGTGAAATTGAGCCTTCATGAATTGGATGAACTTTATGTCATCTTTAAGGTACTATTTTCCTTCTTTAAATCAAAAATAATACTCTTAGCAAAACTTTACCACAGCCACTCAACTATTTGGTTTAGAATTATTTTAGTAGACATATTTAAAAGAAAAAAAATCTTATGAAGTTACTTTTTCTGATTTAATGACTTTCCTTTTTCCATTTTTTTTAAATAGAAACAGTTGTTTTTTTCTTATTATTGGTGTTTGAGTTCTCCAGTATTGAAGCACCATGATCCCAGTCTGCCATATTTGGAACAGTATCAGATTGACTGCCAGCAGTTCAGAGTGTTGTATCACTTGTTGAGTCCCTGGGCTCATTCTGCAAACAGAGACTCACTAGCTTTATGGACATTCAGACTGTTGGATGAAAACTCTGATTGCCTTATAAACTTCAAAGAATTCTCCTCTGCAATTGGTAGGATTATGTCCAATAATTTTCTTTTTTAAAGCAAAAAAATAAGAATACCTCTAGAAATAATTAGTGCTGCCTATTACTGCCAACTTAGATTTTATCAGCCTAATTTACATTGTCTCCAGCTTTAGCAATAACTGGACCATTTTGTATGTTTGTTGCTAAATCTAAGTATCTTGGTATTTTGCCCCAAACCACCCAGAAAAGCAAGCTGTTGGGTGTTTTAGTGGCTAACATGAAGGAAGAGAATGTCCTGATTTTCCCACACTTGGGCACATTACCCCTCAGTGAAAATCCAACCACATAGCCTAGAAGAGTGATAGAGAAATACTCAAGGAACATTCTGTTCCTGTAGATAGTCCACCAGATATATCATTCCTTTGCTTTTCCAGACACCCTAGCATGCTTTCTTATCAGGGATTGCCCCTTGAAGAGGAGTTCTCTCTTCAAATGAAACATAAGGCCTCAGTCAAAAGAAAAAAAATAATATTAGGTTGAGGTTGTGGGAGAGTTCAGCAGGAGACCATTTAATTTTTTCCCTCTGATAAAGGGTATTTTGCTTACATACTTCAAGGAAAGAATCTGGCTGAGGGGTAGTTCAACTGTTAGCTTAAGTAACTGAATTCTAACTCCTGGCTAGTGTCTGTATCTTAATTAATCTATGTTGCTGGAATTGACTGAATGTTCTTTGGATATGTGATTATTTGCAATTTAATTTTATTGAACAGACATAATGTACAATGGAAGTTTTACTGAGAAGCTTAAGTTGCTTTTTAAGCTGCATATTCCTCCAGGTAAGAGTTTAACAGTTGTTTGTCATGTACAGGAATTGACTCCATTTTAACCAGTATAATTACAGGTATCATTCCATTTTAACAAATAATATAATTTTCCAAATGATATAAGATCATTGCTTCATTGTGGCCCATGAATCATATTACCAATATTTTTGCTGATAAATAGTTGTGCTGAAACCTGTGGAAGAGATTCTGTACAACAGATTGTTTCAACAAGTTTCCTTCCTGTTAGTGGTCAGTCAATTTAATGATAAATAGTTTGTGTATAAGAACTATCTATTATTTGAATATTGGTATAATGTTGAATTTTTATTATTGTTATTGTCATTTGAGAGTAGAATTTAACTTTAGACAAATTGCCGAACTTGTGAAATGCTACAGATTATTCAGAAAAATGAGACCAGGCAGCAGGGATATTAAAAATTTGGAAAAGGAAACAATAAAAGCTAACATTTATTGAGCACTTGCTCTGTCGAGGCATTTGCTTGGCATGCATTCTTTTATTTCATTCTCATGATACCCTTGAAAGGTGGTATTATTCTTTGAATTTTGACAATAAAGAAACTAAGAGTCTGAAAGATTAAATTAATTGCTGAAGATTACATCGCTAATAAATTGTGTACCTGGGATTCAAACTGAGGTCTGACTCCAAGCTCAGATTTCTTTCTTTCTATTCTACTGTCGACTGAAAAAAACAAAATCCACAACTTAAAAGTTGAGAGTTGTGTTTTATTCAGCAGACTTTCTGAGGACTTCATGCCTGGGAGGTGGCCTCTCAGATCACTCTTAGAGACGGCTCCGAAGAGGTAGGGGAGGAGCCAGGATCTGTAGGAGTTTTTGCCACAAAGACCAGGTAGTCAGAACATCAAAAGATCACTGGTAATTAAAGAGAACTGGACATCTCAAGTTAATGACTTAGCGCTTTTCCCTGTATGGGAAAATGCAAGAGTCTGGGCTGGTTGAAATCATTCCTTTGCTATCTAAGGCCAGTATCCTGTGCCTCCCATCCTGTATTCCCTCAGGGCTTACCGTCAGGGCGGCTGCAGTGTGATGGCTTGATGGCTGCAACATCTTTGTTTACCGATATGGCGATCAACGTTTTTCAATCACACTGCCATACTGCTTTAATGTTACCACAGCCTTCCACTTTGTTTCCCTCTGACGTTAAGAGGCTGCCTTGGCTGCCTTTCCCAGACCAATCCATATTTTGGGAAAACAGTCTTAGGCTTTAAAGGAACATTGCAAAAGTACCTTTTAGCTTAGATAGGGTAATTCACCAAAACAACAACAACAACAAAACACTTCATAATTTGTATAAAAGTACATGTGGGTTCTCTTTTAGAATCTTCCAAGGATAGCTGGGAACTATTCTTTACCAGACCAAAAATCTAAAAGCCGTCTTTAGCCCTTCACAAACTCAAATCACAAACAGCATTAAAAACAAAGGACAAACCAAAAAATTTAATTATGAAGAACTTTGCATTGTCAAGTCAAATTGTCATTAGAATGTCTGATATTGCCGTGGATGAATTTACTTTCCGTAGAAGGATCAAAAATAGAAAAACACTGTTAGAGCAGTCAACTTCATGTTTTCTTTATTACTAAAGATGTTTTCAAATGACTGAGGCCACGTTTTCAGAGATTTCCAAATGCCAGATTTTTTTTATTTCAACTTGTAATGGCTCTTGAAAAACTATTTAAAAATCAAGTAATTTGGAGAAATAATAGAACTCAAAGTACTCAAATACTCCTTATTATTTGCTATACAGTAGAGTTGTACCACTTCCACATTTCTTCACGTATGTCTTTCTTTTACAGGGACCCTTTGTTTAATTCTCTGCCCCCAAATTTAATCGACCCATTATAGGGCTTGTTTCTGTCTCTTATTGTTATAAATGTGATTTGGGTTATCTGTTTTCAGCTTATACTGAAGTCAAGTCTAAGGACCCCTCAAAGTGCGATGAACTTTCCAAGGAAGAATTACTTTATTTCAGTCAGCTCCATGGTAAATATCTGTTTAAAATGTATCTGTTGTGATGGCTAGTCTCTCAGAGATCTTCCTGGCTTAAATATTCTTTACCCAGCTACCACTAGTAAAATTTGGGTTAATTATACCTTATACTTCTTTTGTGCTGTCATAGCACTTAGCCCAGCCCTAAATGCATGGTAAGTATGCCATGAATATTTGGCTGGTTAACTAAACTACATTTTGGGTTGTGATTTATGGAATTTCTTACTTATTGGAGAATTAGAAAGAAAATGCATTTTATTTCTACCTTTGTAGCATAAATTTCTAAAATGTATCTGACTGTTCTTCATGCTTTGTTAAAATGCAATGAAGACAATAGAATCTTTGATGATTGAAGATCATAGCTATTATTCAAACAGTGAATACTTAATATAAATCACTGTAGGTATGGGAGACAGGGATGAGTCTGTCTCAAGACATAATTGAGAAGTATTACAAGCTTATTTTTGTGTCTCTTGCTCCTTTTTCATAAATATGAATGTCTTATAGAAGAATGTCTTTTTTAATGTATGTTTATGATTACTCTATGTTAGTGTTTGAACATTAAGTTCGAAGAGACCTTTACCAATCATCTAGTCAAGTCCCTTAATTATGTAGAGGGCACTTGAGGCCCAGAAAGGAGACATGACTTGTGCAAGATTTTTCAGTGAGGTTTTACCACAGTCAGGACTAGTAGCTCAGGCTTTTCACTTCCGGTATGTTTTTATCCTAGTAGTAGAAGTAATACAATTTTTTTTAATTCTTTTTTTTTTTAATGGTGGTACTAGGGATTGAACCCAGGACCTCATGCATGCTAAGCATGCGCTCTACCACTTGGACTATACCCTCCCCACTGAAGTAATACAATTTAATTTGAAGAAAATCATAAGGAAGAAAATAACCACATACCACCTAGAAATAAATTGTATTTATTTATTAATGTATACCAATAAATATTTGATATATTTCCTTCTAAGATTTTTTTTCATACGGATTTTTCCTCAGTGTTCTTGTAAAAGTTCTTAATACTTTGTCTTCTAATGATAGGAGGTCAGATTAGCTATAATTGGTTTGCTGAATTGAAGAAAATAACACGTGCTTATAAGTCTTTATATAAGATATTATTTTATTTTCAAAAGGTATTTGTTACATATTTTACAAAATGTGATTGTCCTCTTTTCCTCTAGTTTCCAAGCCTGCAAAGGAGAAGGAAGCAGAATCAGTAAAAAAAAGCCCTGAAAAAGGTATATGATCTAGGAGTTATCATTTAGTTTAAGTTACTGTTTTTGTAAATAGGGTTAACTACACAAAAGGGAAACATGGATTCCCTTTAAAGTCTATTGATTTGTCCTGAGAGCTTTTTCAGTTCCTTTGTGTTAGTTTCACAATTTATTCTTTCTTCTCTTGATAGTCTTAGAAGTTATAGAAAATATAATAATATATGACCCATATTAATTTAATTTTATTATTCTGAAAATATTTACTTTAATTACATAAGTAATAGGTAATCTTTATAAAAGAAATTTAAATGTACTGAAATCCTCATACCCGCCCCCAACCTCACCCTGAAGTAAACATGAAAACATTTCGTCCATATTTTTTCTAGACCTGTTTCTATGTATAAACAAATATAAGTAGACATCTCTCTCTTTTTTAAAAAAAGAAACATTTCATAAAAACTCTTCTGCAATTTGCTCTTTTGATTTTATGGTATATCAAGAACATCTTTTCATGTCAGTACATTTGGATCTGTCTTTTTGATGGGTACAGAGTATTCCACTATTTGGTTGTACCATCAATTATTTCAGTAACTAGCTCAATATTGATGAACATTTAGGTTGTTTCCAATTAATTATACTGCAATGTATGCTCCAACAAACATTTTTATACTTACATTTTAGGATAATTTTGTACCTGTTTCTTTAGGATAGGATAAATTAATAGAGGTATGAGAATGCTGGGTCACAAAGAATGTGCATATTTAATATTTTGATAGAGGCTGTCAGATTGTTCTCCAGAAGTCCATCATTCTTCCTGTGTTTTTGAGTAATATTTAGTTAAAAATAAGGAATTGCTGAAGATCTGTTTAAATATGCCAACTTCACCAGGTTGTTCAGTATATCCTAGTTTTTCAAGAGATCTAAATTATTAGTAATAAAGTCACATTAATAACATTATAATTAAACTATTCAAAGAAATGAATGAATAAGTACTGTTTTGAATTTTTGAAAAAGAGCCACCATAGACCACTTTGGTATCTGCATATTAAGAACATCATATAGAACCAACCTATTTTAAACTTAGTGGGATGCATGAGAAAGTCTACATGAGCTTTACATCATCAAGCCAGGGTGCACTGTTTAATCTAAAATGTATTCTCCCTCTCTACTCACATCTTCCCTAGTCCCCAACCTTTCAAAAGTAGGTTTTGGTTGAATGGAAGTGGAGTATGTATTTTGAGAGTCAATGAGTGAAATAAAAAGTTTAGTCAGATCAAATTCTGGAGTAAAACAAAAGTAGAGTTTTATATCTCAATGAAATATCTTTCAATCATAATTGTTCTTTTCGGGTATTAGGAAAATATAGTTGAATTTTCATTATGAAATGGTTTTATTCCCCTCATTCAGGAAAAGGAAAAGTTGATATTCAAGCATATCTAAGTCAGTGGCAAGATGAGCTTTTAAAAAAAGAAGAAAACATTAAGGATTTACCAAGAATGAATCAGGTATAGTATTTTCAAAGAAAAATCCTTGTTTTCTTGTGAGATTTTTTTTAATGAATGTGGGTGTATCCAGATCTAAAATAAAATAGCTAACATGCTGTTATAAAAATAAATAATTTTTGTATTCTCTCTGTAAGTTTCAGATGAGCATAAAAGAATGGGAGTAAATTTTTAAATTATTTTCTTCTTTAAACACAAATGCATCTAGAGTTTCAAAACAGGTTTTTAAATTAAATTTTTTAATTAAAATCTTTTGGTGTAGATACTGAGGATTCCCACAACTTTACCAAAATGAGAAATATGAAATAATTTAGTTTTTCTCGATGGGCTAATTTGATAGTTGAGTACGTACTTTTTAAATAATTAATCAACATGATATATTTATTCTAAATTTCTAATAAACAAACAGTACTACAGACTAAGGAAGAAAGAGAAATAAAACTTAAAAGTTTGGTACCATATATTTTTATATCTTTTTATTTGCTTTTTATTTATAGATAACCCTTTCTAGTAGGATGATTGATTTATAGGACTTTTGTGTTGGAATAATTTTTTTTCTTAATTGACAAATAGCTTCTAGAAATATCTAGGGTCAACTAGCAGACAGTCCAGTTTATTTCTCTACTTGGGCTCCACCTTAGCCTTTAAAGAGAAACATGGCCAAATGGGCTCCTTCCTTAGAGCTACCTTGTACTAGATAGGTCCCCAAACATTCTTCCTTAAATTTAAGTCATCCTAGTTGTGCTGCCCACTCTGTCTTTTTGGGGAGATCAGGGGAACTCATTCCCAATCTGTTCAATAAGATTGGTTAATGAATGAATGATTTCCATGTAAGGAAATGTGAGACTTTGCCTAGTCAGAAATACCACTTAACACTGAAGGAATGTTGGCAGATATTGTCCAGGAATTATTGTATATGTAATATATGTATATGATTTTCTATTATTAGGCAATAAATGAGAAGGCTTAGTGGAATTTTCTTTCATGGTTCATACCCATCTTTCTAGAACCAAGATTTATTTGGGGATTAATCATCAGTTCTTATAACTTCCGTGGTGAAGGTTATATGGTACAAATTCTTAATAGAAGACTATTCACTTCTAAGTTCTCTTTATATTTGCTAAATCTAATATCGTGTGATTTTTCTAACTTGTGTCTTCTAGTCACAATTTATCCAGTTTTCAAAGACTCTATATAACTTATTTCATGAGGACCCTGATGAAGAGTCATTGTATCAGGCCATTGCTGTTGTAACCAGCCTTTTGCTCAGGATGGAAGAAGTGGGAAGAAAACTACAAAGCCCTCAGTCATCAGCCAAAGGACTCTCTAGTGCAGTCGGTGCTTCCGGAGGATCCAGTGAGGGGCGAAGAGAGAGTCACTTGGAGAAAGAGCCCTCCTCTCTCAGGGAAGACCCTCAGTGGTCATTTGCATTTGAACAGATTCTTGCATCTTTGTTGAATGAACCAGCATTGGTAAAGTTTTTTGAGAAACCCATAGATGTAAAAGCTAAACTAGAAAATGCAAAAACCTCTCAACTAAGTTCTAGAACCAAGATGCAAGTCTCTTAACAGGAATTGCCTATTATAGACAAGTTTACCAAGGTTCTTGTAGCTGTCAGCTTGATTCCTGGGAGTAGAGATCAAGGATTTATCTTGTTACCAATGTGTTTGAAGTTTTAAAAAAAGGTACTTGGAAGCACAATGATTCATTCCTTTGTGGTAATACTCAATTTTGATATTCTCTAATACAAATACACTTTTTATATTTCACAAGATGAGCAATATCGGGGAGTATGCTAAATATTGCCACCAGAGGGCACCACCACCCCACTTTTAGTAAGGAAATTACTAGTTTGTGCTGCTTTTTACATATGAATTACTAATGATTTTTGAAAATGTGGTGTTATGTTTGCATATTAGTGATGCTGACTTGTCATATTGATAAATCCTACTTTCCAAATTGCCCCAGTTCTGTTAGAATGCTTTAGAAAGCAGGCTCTTAGGTCTATAGCCTTAATCAATTATCTAGAAGATTGCCATATGGGAATCTCATTTTCAAGTTATCTAACTGAAATAATATTAACTTTTTAAAGTTAATCTCATTCAGTCTTCTGATAATAAATGGTTTTTAAGTAACTTCTACATTCTCCCTACCTGAGCAGTTCAGAAGCTGCTGACTCACACTTCTAGCTCTGTTACTGATGAAAATAAAGAAATCAAAACTCTGGGCTGATATAAGGAAGAACAATATTGGATTTGGATTGGAGCTGTCTAAAGCCAGCCACTTCAGAAGGATTAACGCACAGTACAATTAGCTGTGTATAAGATCTCTCATTAGACTGAAAAATTACTTGAAATTCTGAGCACTGCTGTTTGTGGCATTTGTCTAAGAGTACTTATGACTGCTTCGGTTCTAGTTTCAGATTTGGGATTCTCACCAGTCGTATTTTAAGTTACATTAGAGAGACTGAATGATTCTATCAGTCTGGCAAATTCATAAAGGATACAGGCATACCTTGTTTTATCGCACCTTGCTTTATTGCTTTTCACAGATACTAGTTTTATTGAAAACTGAAGGCTCATGGCAACCCTGCATTGAGCAAGTCTATCAGTGCCAATTTTCCAATAGCATTTGCTCACTTTGCATCTGTCACATTTTGTTAATTCTTGCAATGTTGGAAACTTTTTCATTATTGTTATATTTGTTACGATGGTCTGTGATCAGTGATCTGTGATGTTACTGTTAGACTCACTGAGGGCTCAGGTGATGGTTAGCACTTTTTAGCAATACAGCAGTTTTAATTAAGCAGTGTTTAATTGTTTTGTTAAACATAATGGTATTGCACACTTAATACACTATACTGTAGTGTCAAACATAATTTTTATATGCCCTGGGAAACCAGAAAATTCATGTGACTCGCTGTATTGCAGTACTCACTTTTATTGAGGTGATCCAGAACTGAACCTGCAACATCCAAGTTGTGCCTGTAGTTGTGTGTAATGATCATTAAGATGATGTATAGAGTTTCCGGCATCTGTCTAAAAAGTCGTGATCAATCTGATTTAGATGTCTAATTTCTATATACTTTATGCTGCTTATATTTCAGTCATTACGATGAAAGTTCATTTAGAGATAATGGGTTTTGTTAGCACTTTAAAGAAAACACACACACTCACTCGTCCAGTCTTCTGTGCTGTTTCTGACAAGAGCAATTTATTAATCAGTTGACTTAGGAAATTATGGGAAGAAGCCATCCACTGGAACTTCTTTCTTCAAAAAAAGACTTTGGTTTTAAAGCCTTTTGTCTTTTCAGATTTGAAACAGTGAAAGGGCAGACATCCTTTAGAATGACCCAAGAAGTCTCCGTTTTTGGAAAAGAATTGGTATAGTGAGCCTTTGGCAAGATTCCACCATGAACAGGGCCTAACACAGAGGGCCTCATCAGCACGGAATATTCAAGAATATTTTCAAGAGAGATTTTCAGAGAGATTCAAGAATTTTCAAGTTGACTTTTTGAAAATTTTACAAATTGGCTTGGCCAAACACTTACTAGTGGTGTCTTTAAAATTATTTTGTCAACCTCATCTTTTCAAGGAGATTACCACTTAAAGAGATAGTTGGTAAATAAGCATCTGTGCCTTTTCTCAGAAATGATTTGCCTGAAACATGTACATGTTTTAGAGTGAGCAGTTTATATGTGAACTATCACACATCAGCTATTAAGCAGTGATTGTTCAATTACACTACAGTAGCTCTAAAAACCCAAGGTTCTATGCTTATATACAGAGGCACTATTGCACATACTTTGTTGAATATTTGTCAATTGTATTTACAAAAAAGATACTTCCTTAAGATCATATGTTAATGTTTGATATGACTTTAAAATCAAAATATTGAAGATTACTTAGTATTGTATTTTAGCCTAGATTAATTAAAATTGAATACCTAAAGAGATTTTTGAGTTGCAGAAATATTATAAATGCAAGTTAAAGAGACATTTATTTTCTGAGTCTGAAGGAGAAATAAGCTGAACACATAGTTTTGTAGTTGCTACCTTGTTAAGCAAATGGATTGTTCTTAATATTTAAAATTTTACATAGTTGTGTCACACTGAACCAGTGCATTATACCTTATACATTAAATGTTATGAGGTGGCTTTACTTGTCTTTATAAAAATAAATGTTATAAATCTGTTATAATAAACATGAAAAATGGCTTACTTAAAGATCTTACTATCATTATGATGACATCTTTTTATTTCTACTTAACTCAGTTATCCCTTAAGGACTTCCCTCCTGTGTTAGTTAAGGTTCAGTTGCAGAGAACAGAATTCACCCTGATTAGTTTAGGCAGGACAAGATTTATTGCCAGACATTAAGTGGCTTACAGAATTATCAAGAGGACTGACTCTAAATTGAGCTTTTGAGAACAACTTCCAAAGCTATACCACAGAACCAGGCCACCAAGGGAGTTGCTAATTCTTCTGCAATCAGGAAACTGCTGCTTCTACTGCCATGATGAAAAGCCAACACTACAGCTGCTATCTCCAGAAGTACGCTCCACCTGCTATGATTTATACCAGCAAAATAGATGCCAAGCATCCTGCCTCTCAGCACCCCCAGTCTAGTGACTATATTGCAGTAGAACAACCAGACATCTTCACAACCACGTTTACCAGCAGAAATGGCATAAGCATAGCCTCCATTTCCCTTCTGCCATTTAAGTCTCATGAGTGTGCATCTGACTGGCCCATAATATATCCAGAATCCTAGTTGCAAGGGAATCTGGGAAATGTGCTCTTTGCTTTTTAGCCTCTGCAGTACAGGATGGCACGCTGAGAGGCTGGAATGAACACTGAGCAACGTATTTGATTTCTATTGCTCTGCAACAAATGATCACAACACCCATTATCTCACCATTTCAATGGGTCAGGACTCTGGGCTCAGCTTAGCTGTATCCTCTGCTTAGGATCTCACAAGGCTGCAAAACCAGGGTGTCAACTAAGCTGGCTCTCATGTGGAGGCTTAATTGGGAAAGGATCTACTTCAGAGCTCACTTAGGCTGTTGGTAGAATTCATTTCCATATAGTTATAGGTCTGGAGGCCCAACCTTCTTCCAGATAGTCGGCTAATGCCACCCCACCAGCTCCTAGAGGCTTTGCTAGGCTCCCCGCAACTGCCCTCAGCTTCTTCAGGCTACCCAGCCTTGCCATGTGGGCTTCCCCCAGATGGCCACTTCCTTCATCAATCCAGCAAGGAGAGTCTCTAAAGCAAGCCTACCAGCAGGACAGTGTCTTATATACATTATGTATATATGTATTATGTGTGTGTGTGTGTATATGTATATGTAATTTCTTATATACATAATATATATTCTACCAGCAGGACAGTGTCTTATAATCTAACAGTGGTGACATATCTCCTTTGCTGTAATCTGTTGGTTAAAGGCAAGTCACAGGTCCCGCCCACTTTCAAGGGGAGAGACTTACACAAGGGCATGAACATCAGGAGACAGGGATTACAGGTGTGCACAGTAGAGTCTGTCGACCACAAGCACCTACCTATGTATCCACCTCTTTTCCTGTGCAGCACCCCCTTCTTCCCATACTTCTGCATAACGGCTAATAGTGTTAATAGCATGCTGCTGCCTATCATGACAAATCTCCTTCATACCAACAAAAATGCACAAATCCTCACTCCTAAGGGAAAACCCAAGTTTCTGTTGGTTACTTGAATCAATCGAGAGGTAATGTCCATTCGTCCGTCCTAACTCAGTCTCAATCCCATCTTGATATTCTGTAACATGTGGACTGAAAAAAAGTTAATTATCATCTACTCACCTTATATAAAATTGTAGAGGAAAAGGGCATAAATGGTTTATTTTTTTCTGATTTCTTATTTTTAAAAATTTTTATTGAAGTACAGTTTACAATGTGTCAATTTCTGGTGTACAGCATAATGTTTCAGTCATACATATACATACAGATACTGGTTTTCATATTCTTTTCCATTATAGGTTACTACAAGATATTGAATTCTTTGTGTGATGCAGAAGAAACTTGTGGTTTATCTATTTTACATATAGTAGTGAGTATCTAAAAATCTCGAATTCCCAATTTATCCCTTCCCACCCTTCCCACCCTCTTTCCCCCCTGGTAACCGTAAGTTTGTTTTCTATGTCTGTGAGTCTGTTTCTGTTTTGTAAATAAGTTCACTTGTGTCTTTACTTTAGATTCCACATATAAGTGATATCATATGGTATTTTTCTTTCTCTTTCTGGCTTACTTCATTTAGAATGATGATCTCCAGGTCCATTCATGCTGCTGCAAATGGCATTTTTATGGCTGAGTAGTATTCCATTGCATATATATACCACAACTTCTTAATCCAGTCATCTGTCACATAAATCAATTTTATATGATTATGTACCTAAAAGAGAAAGGGAGAAACGATGAGTAGCTACTATAGCCCTCATTTCTTCAACTGGTCATGAGGCCATGAGTGGTGTTTTTTGGGGGGTGTTTATAAATTATCATTCAATAAATTAACTTCTTTTTGGTGTACACATCTGTGAATTTTGGTGTACACATGGGTGTATATTCCTCTAACCATCACCACAATTAGAATACAGAACAGTTCTATCACCAAAAACCTCTCATGCCATCCCTTCACAGTGACACTCTCTCCCCACCCCTAACAACCAGTCATCAGTTTTCTGCCCATCATACAAAAGACCAGATCTTTGCTTTCCCAGAATCTCCTCCCCTGGTAGCAACATGACCAAGGATTGGTCAATCAGATGTTTCTGCCTGGAATTTCTCAATATATAGCAGATCAGGAGGGAAAATGGAGAATGCATTCTGGTGGCAGGAGTGGCATCTTCACATCAACACTTTGGTTCTGAAGTAGGACTTAAAAGTACCTTTGGATGCCTAGACTACATCCTCCTTTTTTGGGTGGGAGGAGCTTCATGGATCTGTGAGCCCAACAGTTCAATAAAGTCTTTTTCTGCTTTGCCAGCCAGAATCCATTTCTTTGGCTATCTAAAGTAAGATTGATAACATGTGACACTGGGAGCCTGGCCACAATCCCTCGAGGCAAGGCAAGCAGATTATCCTGGTAGCTATATTCCTAGGCTTACAGTCACTGGCAGAAGGGCATTGTATCCTTAATCTCACATTATACTGCAGCTTCCATTTCTGTCATCAGAACTACATTTTCTTTCCCCTCCCAGAAGCACCAAGCAGTAGATTTCCTAGCTTCTAATTCGACTTGTCTTCCTTTGCAGGTAATGTCTTATTCTTTGTGGCTGCTTTTAAGATCTTTGTGTTGCTAGTGTTCTATAGTTTCTTATGATTTATCTAGCTTTAAAAAAAATCCTGTTTGCTATTAATTATTAAATTTTGATTATCACCTGTCATTCTCCAAGACCTGCATACATCTTGGCACAGGTCAGACAGGCAAGTTGAAATGAGGATATAATAGAAATCACCTCCCACCTCCCATACACACACACATCCTTCAGCTCTTTGGTGGGCATTCATCTCTGTGATTTCCCCTGGGGATACAGTATTGACAGGTACACTGAATTCTACTTGGCCTTTTCTACCATAAATAGCCCTTACTGTACTGGTCAGGGAGCAAATGTGATAGATCTGCCAGTTGCTGAGTATTGCTGTTTCAAATGTTCATTCATAAACTAAGAACCATATAATGCATTTGCAGATCCACTGAACCTAGTGCAAATGGATTCAGGATAAAATTATGTTTCTTAACTCCATAAGCCCTGGCTCTGACCAGTGGATGACCGTTGTGTTCTAAATGCTCCCCCAACCCAACCTCCTTGCCACCAGCCCTAGACGAATATGAATTCAGAGTCAGTATCCAATAATTTCTGGAAAGTATGAGTGTTTCCAGTTGCCCAGTGTTGGCTACCCCAGTAAGCAACCACAAGCCCCTCTCACTAGAAGAAGGAAAGAGGAAAGCTAGGAAGAAAGTCTACAACACATGCTTATGGTATTGCTGAGTTCTTCCTCAGTGGTACCTGGCTTTCCCTCCCAGGGCCTCTGGGTGTGTGAACTGATTCAGGTCGGCAGACTTAGGTGAGAGGCCATGAATCTCCACCATAGTTACTCAAATTAGATCTTTATTTACCAGACAGAAACGTTTTGGATATACAGACGAAGTGAAGAATTAGTAGACTGCTCATCTAATTCCAGCTAAGGGATCTGAAGAACAATTAGCCATTACCAAACTTCTCTGCGGGTCAAAACATTCAGATAACTTCTCTGGCCATGCTTCCGTCGTTCAACCCACGCTCAACCCTGTCTCTGGTCATTGAGTGTTGCTGCTTGGTCCCTTCCATTCTAAGATCTCATCGTTCTCATTGATATGAACAAGTTCCTTTCAGTGGCAGCATCCATCACCGCTATCTCTGGTCTACTGAAGACTACCACTGTAGCATGTTCCAAGAGTAATAGGGCTCCTCTCATCAATGTATATTTCCATGTCTTGGGGAAGAGAACATCCCCTAGGTCCTACTGGGGGACTTGGTTAGGATGTAGATGAGTGGGTCATGTATCATAAATGTATTCCAATGTTCCTATTTCCTTAAGTCTTTGGAGTACTTCCTCTACATTATACTAAGGATATCTGGCATATCAACTTCATTTAATATGGGCTAATTTTCAGCCTTGACTTCAATCAACCAAGTAAATAGAACCACTTCCAATTGTGCAAGCTAGTAATTGAATCCAGAATCTCTGGTAAGTATTCAGGTGTTGATATATTTAACTCAATCTAAAGTTACATTTTCCACGGTATAGCATCCTCAAAATACATTCCCACACATGTTCTCCAAATTTCTGCCATGATAAACTAGCAAAATTTCTCAATTTCCTCCTTCCAGCTCAGACTTGTATTTGTCTCCTTGGAGCATACTGTGATCTAACTCTAGTTATAGATCTGGAAGCAAAGAGAGGTAGTAGGGATGGCACATGAGGAAAATTGACATTTCCTTGCAAAGTAACTTTAGGACATTCAAGCAAAACAGGGCCAACCTCATCAAACCAGGGATGCTTCCACAGGCAAAGGCTCATTGGTGAAGTACTTAGAGTCATCTGAATTCACCCAAATAGCCTAATTTCTATTCTAGAGGTACTCACTCAAACCAAATAAATGCTCTTACTTTCACAAAAGTGACCCCTGACAAGGCTGTGAG